ATTTTTTGCATAAATCTTATAATAAAATAGAGGGTGTTTTATAATGATCTTCGAAAGTCAAATCAGTAGCGAAAGGAGAACGATCTCGTTACACCCTGTACCTACAGCTGTTGTTACGAAAAATTTGATGAGTTGCCGATTGACTTGTGGCGATGTTACACTATGCATTCGTTCGCAGGTTACCGAACCATGCCGAATTCTGCGGCATATACGTTCGGCACTGTTTTAATTCTCGAGATGAGTAGACGAACATACGGCCCACCTAGTGTTAAGTGGTTACCGGAGCCAATACACACCAATAAAGTAAATACCGCCACACACCTTGAGACAAGAGTTCTAAGGTCTCAGTTTTACAGTACAACGGATGCCCCACCCTTCAAACCGAAACGCATTACTGCTTCACGGCAGAAATAGGCAGAGCGGTTGTGCCTACCCGTGCGGATTTACAGGACCCCCTACGAACCTGTTTTTTTTTTTTAAAAGGCCAAATTGAACTTTAAAAGTGGTTTTAAATAAATAATATGTATTTAAAATACGCTTTATAGAAAATTCAACTAAAAATAGAAAATAAATTTGAATTAAAAATAGTGTAAGAAAAAATGATTTTATTGTAAAAAAAAGCGTGGGGTGCATGGTATAAGTAGTTATAAATATTTTATGAACAGATATGACTAGATGGGTTAATATTGAATTGTCATCGGTCCTTAATAAGTATACCAAATTTCGAGTTAAGCCGACATTTTCAAGGGGGTCAAAATCATGTTCAAAGATTCCGTTACAAACATACATAAGTCTAAGCTAATAAAAGCGTATTAAAATTGTGTGAAACACGGCTAATAAATTTGCATAATAAAGTACCTTTTATAGAACAACAAATGTTATAACATAGAAAGTGAACATAATATGATGAAACCAAAATACGGTACAGTAGGTATAACAGTGTTTAGATATGTGCGATAATATCTTTGAATATAAAACGTAATCGGTTGAGATAAAGATAATTATTGTATTACGTTATTTTAATGATTAAAACATACATTAACGCGTATTAGTCTCTAAGTACTTTATTTGTTTTTTTTTACAGTTTCCGATACGATTTTTATCGGATATATTGAGTCGACTATTATCAAAGCCGGCAATGTGACTTTTGGACAATTTTTGGTAAATCAGAAAAACGAATTATTGACTTTGTATTCCATTGGCAGTCACAAAACTTTTCGGAACGACATCTTAGATAAGTAACAGGTTAAGTATTAACCTTTATTTAATGCAGGTTTTGAACCGTATTCTGTGAAGGAGACGATTATATTCAAATCAATCTGTATTGACGTATCAATAATATTTTTTTGTCCAAATGCACAGATTGCCACCTTTGATAATAGACGACTCATATATATAGTAAAAAATATAGCTATAAAGATTCCTATTTATTAGAAAATTAGCAAAACAAATTATTTCAATTAAAAATAATACTTCGCTTGTGCGTTGTGCTCGTAATGATTAATCTAGTATTGCCAAACATTGACCTTGAAACTGTTTGCTATTAATTTTTATCATTATCATTAAAAACCGAGCACATCATTAAATCGAATCATTGTGGAAATAAAAGCGAATCGCATTATCACTTGCAACACCAGCGATCTTTATTCGGCACTAGGAGAATGGAATTCAAGGATTTGCATATACATATGTATGCACATACGCTACAACATATGCTACAACAGCTAACTGAGTCAAGCAGAGTAGTTGGCCTTACTATAAATAAATAAAAAACCAAATTAATGACAAACCGAGAAGAAATATTCATAAAAGTAGACAATGAAGATAATGAATATGTTAAAAACTATAGGTACATACTTAGGGCAATTACTATCTTTTAGAGACCGGACAGGCATAGAAATAGAAAGCAGAGTGGCCTGTGCATGGAAAAGATACTGGTCTCTTAAAGACGTATTTAAAAGCAAAGAATTTCCTATGACAGCTAAGAAAAAAAATTTTAATTAGCATTGACTCAAACATCTTTTAAAACTAAGATCGCGTCAAAGGGGATTGGAAAGGAGTATGTTGGGCCTGACGCTAAAAGACCGCAAAAGAGCAGCAGACATTAGATCTACAACAAAGGTGGAAGATGTACTAAAGAAAAAAAAAGACTTTTAAAATGGCGATGGACAGGACATATAACAAGGGAAAGCAGAATAAAATGGACTAAAATTATAACAGAATGGCAGCCACGTGATGGAAAAAGAAAAAGGGTAGGCAAGCTAGAAGATGGACAGATTATATAAAGACCATTGGAGGGACAATCTGGTCCAGAAAAGCTACCAATAGAGAAGAATGGAAGCAACTGCTTCTGCTGAAGCTGTAACTATACTTGAGACCTTAGAACTTTATATCTCAAGGTGGGTGGCGCATTTACGTTGTAGATGTCTATGGGCTCCAGTAACCACTTAACACCAGGTGGGATGTGAGCTCGTCCACCCATGTAAGAAAAGAAAAAAAAAAAGCTGACAGAGGCCTATGGGTCACAAGACAGGCTGATCACTGAACCGGGAAACCCGATGTATTAGATTTAAGTTACAACAATTTGCTACTATATACTAAATATATACACGTACCAGTATGTAAAATCGTAATTTATTGTTTTAAATCTGAAATAGTTTGAGTTTTCTGAATTACTTGAGGTGTGAGGTCGACCCCTGAATCGTGTTGGATAACGATTGTCCTACCCTACAAGCAATGCATGACTGCTCCGTGTGAAAAATATGCCAAATAGCGGTACCTAACTTTGTAGGCTTTATTTAACAAAAAAAATATATTTTCCCTACTTAAGACGTTGTTCCATTATCGTGAAGGTCAAAATATATTAAATATTTTTAAAGGTACAAGGCATTCTGAATGCAACAACCCTAACTAAGCAGTAACTGACTTCGTATAACACGGGTTTTATAAAAACACAAAGCTCACTACCCGGGAATCGAACGCTTACTTCTTCGTCCAGTCCAGTCACTAACCACTAGACCAAAGCGGCGATTTGATTAGGAACAGAATAATAAAAATGTCTTCAATTACAGTTGTGAATAATAAAACAAATTTATACATTATTCATTTACATATGTACACAATTTAAAATTTTAACATGAATATAAAATACAATATTAATAAACGCTGCAACTTTTATAAATTCATTATTTAAATAATTGTTCGTACTAAGCATTTTTTAATGCAAAGAAAACCAACTGATGATTGAAAAGTGTTGCCATCTGTTGAGGAAGAAATGCTTATAAAATACTATGTGGTTTTAAGCGTAACACTGCCATCTATTGATAAAACTGTTAAACTAAGTACAGTTCGATAATACTTTGATTATTTCGCCTTAGTTGGCAACTGTCAGGATGGCCGAGCGGTCTAAGGCGCCAGACTCAAGGTAAAACCTTGCCTGTCAAACAGGTATGAGTTGTTCTGGTCCTCTCTGAGGGCGTGGGTTCGAATCCCACTTCTGACAACTATTTTTTCCTAAAGCATTTTTATTCATTACTAGCGGCCCTCCGGCTCCGCTCGGTTCATTAACAAAAATGTCAACAATATTAGACGTTGTTTTATTTAAAAAAATTATAGAAAACTTATTGCGGCATAGCTATAATAGTTAGACATATGCTGTCGCGACACTTTTTGTAAATATGTAATAATGTGTTCTACAAAGTCGTAGTACATTATTTTATTCTATCATCAATAGTTTTCGCAGGGCACGCGATGTAAAGAATATTTTAGGTAATTTTTTTACACTTTGGGTTACATTATTGGAGTTTCAATAAGGATCCCTAATTTTTTTCAAAAAAGATTATATATAGCCTATGTCACTCGGGAATAGTGTAGCTTCCAAACAGTGAAAGAATTTTTCAAATCGGTCCAGTAGTTTCGAAGCCTATTCAATACAAACAAACAAACAAATCTTTCCTCTTTATAATTTTTATTCATTACTAGCCATACTCGCCCGCTTCGCTGGGTATTTAAAATTGACATTATTATTTATTGTCGATGTTATTAGAGGGTCCAACACTCATATAAATATTAGCCTATCCATTAAGTACATGTATTTTCTTCATGAATATCGAGTTTCAAGTGAATCGGATGCATGGTTCAGTAGTTATAACGGAACATCCGTAAAAACCACTGTAGATTTATATATTAGTATAGATATCTAGAATAGTAAAGACAATCTGTTTCACAAAATATTTATCCAGGTTTATGAAATGCAGAATTTAAAAGAAATGTTCAAAATACCTTGATTTGTAACATTTCAAACACAATTATTAATTGTCAACGTGAATCTCTATTTGTAGTATAGACATAGTAGTCACAACCTCTATTTGATATGGATTAATAGCCCTTGGTTGTTCTGATTAGCGACTCTCATTAATGCAGTACAGGCTCCATGTTTGGTCTGGTATGAGTCGCCGACATACATAAAACAACAGAAAAGTTACTACGTGACCCTATTGTCAAATATCTAAAATCGGAAGTCGAAATCCCTCACCCTTCAAATCGTACCGCATGATTGCTTCGCGGCAGAAATAGCAAATGATGAGTTACACATGCGGGCTTACAATACACTCTACCACCAGTTAGTGGCAGTTAGCGATCAGTCAGATGATTACGTGTAGATAACGTGTAGACTGATTTACTGGTGGTAGGACCTCTTGTGAGTCCGCACGGGTAGGTACCACCACCCTGCCTATTTCTGCCGTGAAGCAGTAATGCGTTTCGGTTTGAAGGGTGGGGTAGCCGTTGTAACTAAACTTGAGACTTTAGAACTTATATCTCAAGGTGGGTGGCGCATTTACGTTATAGATGTCTATGGGCTCCAGTAACCACTTAACACCAGGTGGGCTGTGAGATCGTCCACCCATCTAAGCAATAAAAAAAACAAATAAACTTATCTAAAAATCGTAGTAAGAACCCGTTATATAACAGTTTGTGTGAAGTATGCTGTCCCTTTTCAGGTGTAGCTAGTCGGTGTGATGGTGCGGACCCTCACAGTTCTGCTGCTGGTGGTAGCTCTGTGCCGCGCTGCCACCCACGACTCAGAGCTTGGCGTCGGGAAGGCCATCAACATATTTATGAGGTAAATAAAACCACTGGTGGTGGGGAGTCTTTTGAGTCCGCACGGGTAGGTGCCACGACACTGCCTATTTCCGCCGTGAAACAGTAATTCGTTTCGGTTTGAAGGGTGGGGCAGCCGCTGTAACTATACTTGAGACCTTAGAACTTATATCTCATAGTGGGTGGCGCATTTACGCTGTAGATGTCTATAGCATCCAGTAACCACTTAACACCAGGTGGGCTGTGAGCTCGTCCGCCCACTGAGCAATTATTGCTTAGATGGATGGACGAGCTCACAACCCATGCCCCGCCCTTCAAACCGAAACGCATTACTGCTTTACGGCAGAAATAGGCGGGGTGGTGGTACCCACCCGTGCGGACTCACAAGACGTCCTACCACCAATAGAACTCGTGCGAGTCTGCGCCACCATGTAGACCGCGAAGTCTTCTCACCACCATATCTCATTATGAGCAATAACATTGTCATCTATAGGCATCGCCATAGGCAATAGACATTCGATACTTTATTATTAAGTTGATGAAAACAATTAACTCAATTTAGCTCATGGAATTCGAACTAATTTCACTAGATATGGCTACCTCAGCATATGCATGCGAGTGGTTCCCCGGAACGACACAGAGACCTGGGTTTTCCGGGAGCCGACAGTCAGCGTGTTCCGGGACGTGGAGCAATACAGCGTCGCGCCCAAACCTCGCCAGCCGAAGACACTGTTCGACGGAGACTTCCACATGGAGTTCTGCGATAACCTGAAGCAACTGCTGCAAGCGTATTTCAGGGATTTCACTTTTGAGAGGTCAGAGATAATATTCTATAACTAGCCGTACTCGTCCGCTTCGCTGGGCATTTAAAATTAACATTATTATTTATCGTCGGTATTATTTGGGAGTCCAACACGCATATAAATATTAGCCTATCCATTAAGTACATTTATTTTCTACATGGATACCAAGTTTCATGTCAATCAGATGCATGGTTCAGTAGTTATAACGGAACATCCGTAAAAACCACTGTAGATTTATATATTAATATAGGTTTGTATGACGGCATTATGCTACAGACATTATATAGATACTAGTGGTCCCGCAGTAGTCGAAATAAGACTTTAAATAATTGAAATTACCTATAAGTTCTATTGTCAATGACTATTATACTTCTATAATCGCAGATTTCGCCAAGACTGCACTTTAGACAAATAATATAAAAAATATATAGAAAAAACAATATTAATCTATTCTCAATTTGACCAGAATATAAACATTATAAACATTAAGAAAAGTTTGACAATAAACAAAGAGTATATACGTGTATGTGTCAAATGCATGGTAATATGTGTAATATTTTTTTTTATTGATTTAATCTATTTTTATGTATAATTAAAAAATAAATAACATTCTGCACATTCTCTTCTCCTTATTCTCTATAAGTGTAGGAAATTTCATACTCCTCATTACGGATCCTCCTGATCCATTAACGGTGCTTTTAGGCACCACAAGCACCGGTCACCCTCCTCGTCGAACCCGTCGCTTGCGACGAAGGGCTCGACGAGCGAACTAACCCATAGACACAGCCCACTGAGTTTCTCGCCGGATCTTCTCAGTGGGTTGCGTTTCCGATCCGGTGCTAGATTCTGCGAAGCACTGCTCTTGCTAGGGTCAGTGTTAACTCAGTGGGCTCAACTCACAGTCATCGACTGCCGGGTATAGCCCTCTTCCGATGTAGAGCACTGCTGTCAGTACCTCTTAAATTTCATGAAATCTTCTAGGCTGGAGCGTCCATGGCGGGCGTTCACGGCTGGCTGGCCCACAGACATAATGGCCAGAAACTTGGGGATCAACTCCTCGTTCATCAATGGCGACCACTGCTACGTGCTCGTCAGGGTTTCCAGGTAACATTTATTTGCGGCAACAACTTAAAATCTGATTTGTGACCGAAAGAACATCCGTTAGGAGAATCTTTTGTTTAGTCATTTTAAGTGAGCTAGTTAGTATCTGCGTATTTTCGTCATACACTGCAATAATTGAGGTTTGATTTGTTAAGTAGTAGTTCTATTTTTCTAACTGGATAGGCAAAGGTGTCATACCATACAGCCTAACCTTTGAAGTGAAAAGAACTGAAGTTGATTAATTTGGAACATTAATCAGTTGGCATGAAATTAAGTGAAATGAAATGAGATGATATGGGATAAATATAAGATGGGATAATAGCTAAACTAAGTAATACATACACAATGGAACAGTAATAAATTCTCGTATACTTCTAGGTTCCGCGAAACGGGAAAACTAAAGGACTTGCCACAGAACATAGGAGTTGAGGATGTGGTGTTTGACGCCATCCAAGATTCAATCATTGGGGACACAGCATCCATTGCCGATTTCATACGCAAATACGGATCGCACTACATTGCATCCTATATTACTGGTAACTCTCTGTACCAGGTGAGTCTGCTTCTTAGAGATTATTTTTATTTATTACAACGCCATCTGTTGGCGACTTAAGTAAACAATCAGGAATAATGTCTTCCGTCATTTAATTTAATATTCCAAACGATTGACATACAAAATGTTTGTTTGTTTATCAGCGATTCACTGGTGTGTCTTTCGTTCAATTAAAACAGTGGTTACTAGCACTTCAAGGCACCGTTTTGTCGTAGTACCACCAATGAAAGACAGGTGGCGTCTGAGTTTTGACAACTTAGTGTAATTCGCACATTTATCAATGGTCACACCGGAGCGAGATTAAAAACGATTCCCAATGTTTGAATAAAGTACCAACCTTCTGTGATTCACCATTAATGCACGATTATTACCAGATCTCACGGCTGGTTATTTAAAAAACAATCTTAAACCAAAGAGATAAAGTTCATTATATTAAATATCACGATTTAGGTGTTTGTCTTCTCTCGGGGCGTGTACTCCAGGGTCAAAGACCGCGTCAAGTCTAACGGGGTCGGTGACCTATCTGTCACTGAGCTAAACAATTTCTTCTCGCCGTTCTTCGCTGAACACGTCGGAGTAGTCAAGGTTCGGACTGAGTTTGAGTTGAGGCTTGATTGAATATACATAAAATTATTCAACTTTATTTCAAAACTTTAATTCATTTAATGTTGAATACAAAAAAATAGGTTGTCTGTAAAGTCGGTTTACTGACGATAGTTGAACGTGACAACGTCATAAGAAAATACTGATGGGATGGTTTCATTTTTCAATTATCGCAATTATCGTTGCTGTAAACAATTGACACCACATTCACTTTTCACTCAACTACATACTTGACGAAAACATGTACGCCTCAGAGCGAGGTAACGCCGCATGCTTCATGTTTTTTCGTGCGTGCAGCCGGCTCCATCGAATTATAAGACGTTGTCACGTCAAAAAACTTCAAAAATCAATTTTACAATACCCTTGGAAAATTTTAACTATGACTGAAACAATTTTGATTATTTTCCGGGTATATCCAATCAGGTCTCGAAATGCATGAAGCATCCTTTAATCACGCATTCGTTCATGGATGTCATTGCATTAACTCATACCGACTTCTTTTCTGAACATTTTTTTCTTCTACGTAACAAAAACATTATACCCTCACTTCATGTACTTCATCATTGCATCCTCTAAATTGAATTTCTCACGAAAGATACGAATAAGGTTCTTATATAAATAAATATTTCGTAAAACTTTGTGCGTTTAGCATTATGGTTTAATAAAAAAAATGCTCAGGAGAGAAAAACGCAGTCCTTGCTTGCTGATTTAAAAAAAAAATAACTGGAGTGCGCGCCAAAAAATATAGATAATAAAACATGAATATTGTCTATGCTCTCACTCCAGGTGTTTGTATTCTCTAGAACCGCCTACTCTATGATCAAAGAGAGATTAAAGAGTAAGGGTGTGGCAGATATAACCGCAAAGGAATTAGAGGGATACTTTTCACCGTGGCATGCCAAACATATCGGACAGATTAAGGTAATAATGTGTGCGGGCCACTGACCTTTGTCGCATGGAAATAAGATTTTCCATCGTAATCTGGGACAACACGAATGTTTGCCTTTATCTGTAATTAATATGAAAATGCACAATTAATTCAAATTAGTAGGCACTAGTGTAAAGTAAAAAAAAGAGTGTAAAGGTCAGTGACCCAACTTTTTTTGCTTTCAAATTGATTTAGAACTAAGGTGGGTAGTCTTTTTCTATTAACTTTCAAAACTACCGTCATTGTTCACGAACATTCTTCATTTCACTTCATTGTCTCTGGCATGTCATCTTGTGTGTTACTAATAAAGTGAATGATTTCTTGTGAAACGCCTTATTTATTTTTATGTTTTTTTTTCCTAATAATGATAGATTTATATTATATTGTGAATAACTAATGGTGGTAGGAAGTCTTGTGTGTCAGAACGGGTAGGTACCACCGCCCTGCCTATTTCTGCCGTGAAGCTGTAATGCATTTCAGTTTGAAGGGTGGGGCAGCCGTTGTACTGTAAAAACTGAAACCTTAGAAATTTGATCCCGAGATGGGCGCCATTTACATTGCCGACGTCTATGGACTCCGGTAACCATTTAACATGAGGTGGGCCGTGAGTTCGTCCACCAATCTAAGCAATAAAAAAAAGATTTTTATTTCAAAATCTTTAAGGTTGAAACTGCCCAAAAATTTTATTTGTCTAAACACATTTATCATTACTTATGAACATTAAAATGATCTAAATATTCTAATTGTTATTCTAAATGAAAATATTTTTCACTAAACAGGTCGCCAGCGGTAACAAAACAGTAGAGAGCTGGGCGACGAAACGTCTAAGGATGCATTACTATATCTTCTCATACCCGAGTCTACTGAAACTCCACGGGGAACCGGCGTTACTACGCAACCTAGACACGTTATTAGGAAATGAGGCTCTATTGCAATTGGAATTAAAGACATTATCGCCCGCATTCAAAGACGCGAACAAAAGGAAGTGGTTCGAAGAGGTCATAGACAATTATTTAAAACTTTGGGAGAGTAATATGTGATGAATTTGTTTTAATTGATAAAATGTACATAGGAAATGTGGAACAATCATTGTGTGCCTTATCATTAAATAATAAAATATATTATATAAGTAAGTTTTCCTAAAAAAAGATGATCTATTCCGCCATTTTGTTTTAACATCCACTATTGATAGTTTTAAAGAGATAAATAACTATGGCGCGTAGATTTAAAAAGCGCCATCTTGTTTAAAAGACAAATTAAAAAAGGGGCTGGTTTTAAACAGAGTTAAGTGTGGTATTTTAAGGTGTTGTTTTTTTAATCATTCCACTTGCTACCGTGGCGCCCCCTTAATTGGCTCGTTTCCAGTGGACACTTTTTACACTGAGATAGTGCTCCATACGAGTACATAGTACCTCTACCCTCCATATAAATAATACACAGGGTTGAAAGCTTTTCGGATACGAACCAGTGATGGACTTAGGACTTTGATGTCGTCATAGGCTTTTTTTATCGCGCTGTTCTGAATGCTAGAATAAATTTTGTTAACTTTGGTCCAATATTTTTATTTTAAGTTTAAAATAACTTTACATTTTATTTTTTTATAAAAATTTATCTGTACTCATTTTCAAAAGAGATTGTCTTTACCCTTTTGCCATTTCGGAAATTTTGGTATCTCCAAAAATTTTGCCGCCCCTCAAACCGTAAATCCATCACTGATCCGAACACAAATTTCGAACCCACAATAATACAAAAAATCAAGTTTTGGGTATAAAAATATACACATTAACAAAGCCCGCAATGTATTACGAATATTGATTACATGACGCGCTTGATAGTGAGCGCCTTCAAAGGAATGCGCGAATACATTGTGGTTTTACAACATTATGAACTCAAACGTCATAGTAATTAGTAATTATTTGGGTCCGTTTACATTAAAGATCTTAATCGTCTCGGTTAAGGACCTGTTATAAACACATGTATGCGATAAACATGGAGGAATATTATCTATCGTATACGTGCTTTTAAAGGATAATGATAATCCTATAATATCTCAATGGAACCGTTTGTTAATGAAAATATATACAATCTGGCAAATAGAATTATTGATATGTCACAACATATTCTAAGGTTCGCAAAGTCGGGTAATCATTTCCCCAGCCCCTAAAGATTATTGAGCTTAGTTAATAAAATCACAATTAATAAGTAGATGTTTTGTAAAAACAACCGAAAATACATATAAGCAATTAATTTAATTATGATAACCTAAAAATTTTGACCCATGTGGTACAATGGCGCCATCTTAATTTATGGATTCCGGCAAAGTCGGTCGGCATAAAATCGTTGTTTAAAATAAAAATAAATACAATTTGAAAATAGTAAATCTTTCAAGAGACAAAATGAAAGAAAACTCGTGATCAATGTTCTAGCGGAACGTATTCACCCAAATTTCATAATTGGCATGAATATTGACTGGCTAAAAAGTCAAATAAAATGATTCTTGTCAATTATAAAACACGTCCTTCAACTATAAATAAATTCAACAGAGTCTGAAGATCGAATGTCTGTAATTTAACTTCATTAGTAGTAAGAACCGTAACTCTGTTTTCTTAAAGCCCATATTCCATTGTATACAACATCGGACTTTTCGATACTAAGAGCGAAATTAGAACTTTTAATTTGTCCATTTTGTTCACATGAGGGAAATTTGACGCACTAAAATTTTGATCACTGAAATTTCTTTTGGAGAATAATAATTGTTAAATTAAAAAAAACTCCAGAAAATGTGTTTTTTGTTGATTAACAATGTTATCTCAAAATTTTTGTTATTGTTGTACTCTCGTGCGTATAATTATTCACGACTTAAAACGGTATTAAAATTAATAAATGATGGCTAAATTATGACCATATAACAAAATTCTTTATAAGTAATCAAAACATGTCACAAATTAAATATAACAATGTTGCATATTCCTTTAAAAACATCACAATATCGTTAACTGAGTATTTAACTCAACCAACAGAATGTCCTGTATTTTGAAATAGTACAAAGTATTTTAAAATCATTATGTAATGTATGACTGTTCAAATTTATTAATGAATTGTGAAATTAAGTATTTTAGGGTACGTGCGCTCAATAAGTGCCTTNATGTCACAAATTAAATATAACAATGTTGCATATTCCTTTAAAAACATCACAATATCGTTAACTGAGTATTTAACTCAACCAACAGAATGTCCTGTATTTTGAAATAGTACAAAGTATTTTAAAATCATTATGTAATGTATGACTGTTCAAATTTATTAATGAATTGTGAAATTAAGTATTTTAGGGTACGTGCGCTCAATAAGTGCCTTATTTGTTAGTCTATAACTTATTAAGCAGTGTTCCAATTATAAAATGGCTTGCTGAAAGTGAATTCCTGTCCTAAGGCAGGACTAATACTAAAGCCTGGCACATTTTTGGTCACGAAGGCAGTAGGCAAGTGTGTATACCAGCGGTCGGGGAACCGGGGTAAATTACCCCAATGGGGTAAAATTACTTTTGTGGGTAAAAAAATATATAGAAGTAAAACTTCTTTAGAATCGTTAAATTTTTAGTTATTGTTTTCTTTTCAAAATTATCATGGGGGTTATAATATGACAGATACTAAAAAGAAGCGATTTCGTTTTTTTTTGTTCTTCGCCATGGGGTAATATCAACTTACACAAAAATATTTTGGGTAATAATTAAAAAAGTTCCCCGACCGCTGGTGTATACCAAAACAGTAAGAGAGTTGTTCCTGTTTGAAAGTTATCAGATCCACTTCAACTATATAGTTCTAACGACTTCAACGTAATTTGTAAGTAATAAGAAACCATCGTAATGTTAAATTGTTCTGTAACTCTTCTTACGTTACGTTAAATATCTAAACCAATAAAAGGCTTCAAAAGGAGTTATTTTAAGAAAGTTTTAAACTTGAAAATAATGCCATCTATTGGGTTTTAATTGAAACAATACAATGTTAATTTGATCTTAATTAAATTACAATTTATTAGTGAAATATTTTCGGTTTTTTTTTAATGTTATCATATCGAAAAATTTGATTGAATTTAAAATGCATTTAATATGATTAATAAACAATGTAATACAAAATGTGTAAAATTGATCTAAATAAAAATAATAATTTAATAAATGAATGTGAAGACAAAACTGTTTCTTTTTTTAATGTATTTTTAAACTTATTGAGTTGCACAGAGGAAAGGAATCGCACAGTAACCGTACTCGTCGAACTCAGCAAAGAGTTCGATGTGCAACCTAACCTAAACATCAGCCCGCTGAGTGTCTCGCCAGATCTTCTCAGCGGGTCACGATTCCTATCCGATAGTAGATTCATTCGTGAAGCAGCTGCTCTTGAGTTGTTAGGTCTCCTTTGGTAGCGCTCGGGTAGCTGTAAGCAAATCCCACCCCTCCTGCCTGAGCCGTTCCTCGCCCACCTGCCCTGGTAAAACTGGAAAGGCCTTCGGGCCACCAGTAATCTATCAAATATAAAAAAGGAATCGCATAATTGTGTGATTTCACCACCCAATTTTTTTTTTCTCATTTTTAGTTATAGTAACTTATTTGTAACCTTTAACCATTTAATGCAGTAGTAACTTCAACACCATATTTTTATATTGACTACCTTAGTGGAACGAGTATACGATGCACCATTGTTGTCCATGGACGTCAGCAATGCTAGAGTTATATCATAGCGCTCCGCAACACCGCGGAGGGAAATTAATTCCAAAGTCAGATGATAAGTGGTACGTGACGCAGTTGTTCTAGGGGCGATGATAAAATAAATCACGGGATCATCTCAAGTATCTCCTTAGAGCATTGAATATGTTTCAAGACATTCATATCGTCATCATCACCGTCATTGAGTTTGCCGTGAATAGCCTAGAAACAGCTGTATCTAAAAAATAGTAGTACCTATTATTGTGCTCAAGTAAGTCGGAGTACATGTGTATTTTTTCTAAAAATGACGCTACGTTAAAATTAATTAATGAAAAGAAAAATATCTAATGTAATCCGTGCTTGACTGGAATCAAACGGGTATTCAGTATGCTTGGTGAGAGTTTTTTAACGTCTCGATCGCGTAAACGTTAACTCAAATTTGTATGGAGTTGGAACAGCGCCCCTACGTTTGCTGCTAGGGGTCCGAATGCTCGCTCGAGTCTGTGACCGATTTCCAAAAGAAGAGGATTTTATACACGAATCTCTTTGTCCGTTGGAAAAAATTAAAGAGTGGAACAGATTGGATACAGTTAATGTCCAATTGAATGTAGATTTATTAAAGTATCGCGCTTTGCTTGAAGGCTCATTGACGGAGGACTTTCATCTCAACTCAATATAATCACTAAAGTTTTTAGTTATTACATATTTTGTAAACTCAAACAAGATGTCTCTATCAGTGTGCTTAGTGCTAGTTTTTTAACGTTCTCGATAGCGTAAAAGTTAGCTCATATTTACATTGTATGGAATGGGATCGTTTGCCTACGTTTGCCACTAGGGGCGCTGTTCCAACTGCATACAAAGTTGGGTTAACTTTTACGCTATCGAGAACGTTAAAAAACTCGCACTAAGCACATTGATCGATAATTGAATTTGGTTAATTTGAACATGTGTAGGTAGGTCTGTACGTACGCAGATTCCCCTGCAAGAGATTTAGGCAACCAATAAAAAACCCATTTCTCAAGATACTGTGTGTTTTCTCTTTAAAATTATGTAAACAAAGTTGTGATACGGTGGTCGGAAACGGAAATCGTAAATTCAAATTTTTTTTTGGGTAATGATACTTCATCACTGGTCACTGGTTGAGACTGGAGAAATTTTTATTTTTACAATTTCACGCGCGCTTCAGATTACAAGTTCCTTGATCTGTAACTAGTACCTACTACTATTATTGTATTGTAAATATTTTTAGGATTTGTAAAGACAGGCGAAGACTGTGTTTTCGTTGTGAATATACATTTTGAGATTAAACAAAGGTGAGAATGTGTGGCGTTTATCTAGTTTATAATAATGAGATCATACGACTCGTAAACAATGGTTTTTATCACAAAACAAACCCGATGCCTGATAACGTGCTGTTAAATTTTGGATATTTTCTACTAGTTGTAGAGAACTTTGTTACGTGCTAATGCGTGCGTTCAGTATTTAACGTAATAGTAATTATTGATATAGTGGTGGTAGGACATCTTGTGAGTCCGGAAGGGTAGGTACCACCACCCCTCCTATTTCTGCCGTGAAGCAGTAATGCGTTTTGGTTTGAAAGGTGGGGCAGCCGCTGTAACTATATTGAGACCTTAGAACTCAAATCCCAAGGTGGGTGGCGGTATTTACGTTGTAGATGTCTTATGGGCACCGATAACCACTTAAAACCAGGTGGGCTGTGAGCTCGTTCACCCAACTATGCAATAACAAAAATAAAAAATAAAAAATCGCTAACACCAGCCTTAACAAGAGCAGTGCTTTGTAGAATCTACCACCGGATCGGAATTGCGACCCACTGAGAAGATTCAGCCAGAACGTTGGTTAGCATCTGTCAGTTAAGGTTTATGTTACAGTATTGTATTGTTGATTGTAGATATTACCCAATAACTTTGATTCGTTTAGGTCTACTCTTTCCGATTCCCGTGTACAATGATAGCATTCAGAATAGATATGGCGACTCCGGGAATAATCTGTAAGAGCTGTAATGAGTGAGCTCACGGCGTGCACGACGTCTCATACAAACGTAAATGACATCATCCACCAAAATAGTCGTCGTGGCCTAAAGGATAAAACGTCCGGTGCATTCGTATGTAGCGATGCACCGATGTTCGAATCCCGCAGGCGGGTACCGATTTTTCTAATGAAATACGTACTCAACAAATGTTCACGATTGACTTCCACGGTGAAGGAATAACATCGTGTAATAAAAATCAAACCCACAAAATTATAATTTGCGTAATCACTGGTGGTAGGACCTCTTAGGAGTCCGCACGGGTAAGTACCACCACTCCGCCTATTTCCGCCGTGAAGCAGTAATGCGTTTCGGTTTGAAGGGTGGGGTAGCCGTTGTAACTATACTGAGACCTCAGAACTTATATCTCAAGGTGGGTGGCGCGTTTACGTTGTAGATGTCTATGGGCTCCAGTAACCACTTAACATCAGGTGAGCTGTGAGCTCGTCCATCCATCTAAGCAATAAAATAAAAAAAATCGTATTAGGGAACCCGCAATTTAAAGTAAAGGAAGCTTTCCATATCACGCGAGACTATTGAACCGTGTTCAATTGTTTTCAATTACATTGCGTGGAGCGCTAAACCGCTGAATTATTAACAAAGAAAAAGAAAATGGTGTTATTTGTAAATCTATCTCTGTATGCCAGTCCTTTTGTCTTCGCTTTCGGAGCGGTCCGCCCATCCGGTCATCGCTCTCGTCGAACCCGTCGCTTGCGACAAAGGGCTCGGCTCATAAATTAACCCACAGACACAGCCCACTGCGTTTCTCGCCGGACCTTCTCAGTTGGTCGCGTTTCCGATCCGGTGGTAAATTCTGCGAAGCACGGCTCTTGCTAGGTTTCGCGTTAGCAACAACGTCAGGTTTGAGCCCCGTGTGCTCACTAATTCGGCGAATCTAGAATAACCTCTCGAGGTTACAGAATAGGTAGGAAAAAAAAAGTCCACCCACACTCACTTAACAGTATGAATCTCATTCACAGATGTGTTCACTATACGAACGAGCCACCAAATATAGACCGAGATAAAGTCAATTCACACTGAAGATCAACGGTTATCGGTAGCCAAACGGTTCTGTCTGTCCTTGATATTTCGTCACAATCGTCTCGTATTTGGAACGTTATTATAATTTAAAAGCCGATATTTATCTTAAAGTTACGAACGAATACGTAGCAGTAGTCTGTATTCAACATAGAAAATATTATTAATTATTTTATAAGCGGATTACCTACCTTCCTATAGTGATATTTAATTATTTATTTTGTAGATGTTTTTTAAGACCACTATTCAATTTTGTCAACACAGTACCTACTGTGTAACATATTTATTCCGCAAATTTCATAGTGATTTTCTCCCCGTTATCGTCAAGTATTTTTTTCCTCAATCTAATTGTTGTTAGCCTAATGGGTTATTCCAGTTACTCACGGTTTCGGTAGATGATCTCACGGGGTTCAACGTGAGAGTTTGCTAGTACTAGCTTTAGCAAGAGTCGTGTTTACTGAATCTACCACCAGATCGGAATCGCGACCCACTGAGAAGACTTGGAGACAAACTCAGTGGATTTTGTTTGTGGATTAAGTTGCATGTCGAACCCTTCATCCCAATCGACGAGTTCGACGAGAAAATTGCATTCAATTGCCACAATGGATACATATTATTATAAACATTAATGTGCCATCTCATTGCATAATATTGCCACAATATATTTGGAAAACTCATTATTGTTACAATTAAAACTATTTTACGATTCAGTGCTGTGTTTACTAAGTTAATTTTAGTTATTTTTACGTAATATAGTAGTAGAAAATTTAACGGTCGTTAGCGAAATATTCAAATGTCAACGAATAAGAGCTTAGTCGTGAGTGAGCAAGAAAACTGCTCACCATTCGAAAAGTTAAAAATAACAAAATGAAAATGAATAAAAGTATAAATCGAGTAACATTTACAAAATTACACTGGTTTTTTTTTACATCTGAGGTATCAAAGGTTAACCATTTTTTTTCTGTTTGAAAATCATGTCCATTGTTTTCAATATTCAACGAGTATTTTAAAATTTGATTTGTAATTACGGTTAATCAAATACAAGCTATCAATATTATTGATGCTAAATAAAATAATGCGCAACATTATACTCGTTTATGATATACAATTTTGAACATTACAACCTATATTACTTTCGACAACATGGAGTTGTTATTTGTAGGATTGTGTATGTGTGAGAGACAGAAGTATTAGATATCTATATATTAATACGTGAAGCAAAAACTTTGTATCCCTTTTTACGAAAATTGCGCGGACGGAGGAGTATGAAATTTTCCACACTTATAGAGAATATAGAGAAGAAGTGCACAATCCTATATATTTTTTTAAAATAATGCATAAAAGATACATTAAATCGATAAAGAAAACATTACACACACTACATACCATCTATTTGACGCACCCACGCATGTATACTATTATTACTATTTACTGTCAAATTTTTGTTCTTTTCGTCTGTTTTCAAATTGAGATTAAATATTGTTTGTCTTTGTTAATATTTTTTATAGTGTAGTCTTGGCGAAATTTGTGATTATAGAAGTATAAAATACAATCATAATAGTGTACAAACTTACAATTCCAATTAATTATAGTCGAATTTCGACTACTGCGGGACCTCTAGTTGAATATAATAATATGACGTAAGTGTGTTCGAATCGAACTAAGATTTCGACATTTAAGAAGTACCTACAATTATGTATGTACGTACATTTTTAAGTATTACGATAGCCTGGATCTCGAGCACGGTCAAATATATATTGAGGTTAGAGAATCTTAAATGATGATAGTTTGATCGACGGGTATGCGACCTCTAGGACCTCCGAACTACTAATACTATAATTAACAATCAATCTGGGACGCCGCGATTAAAACTCAATTATAATTTGATATGTCATGGAAACGACAAAAGGATGGTCTTCCTTCGATTTTTTTTCTCGGCATACTGAACACACATTAAAAAAAAACGATCCATTAACGGTGCTTTTAGGTACCACAACCGCCGGTCAACTTCCACGTCGAACCCGTCGCTTGCGACGAAGGGCTCGACGAGCGAATTAACCCATAGACCAACCCACTGAGTTTCTCGCCGGATCTTCCCAGTGGGTCGCGTTTCCGATCTGGTGCTAGATTCTGCGAAGCACGGCTCTTGCTAGGGTCAGTGTTAGCATCACTCCGGTTTGAGCCCCGTGAGTTCACCTACTAGTTAAGGCTACGCTGAAATAGCCTCTCAAGGCTATCAGCTTAGGTAAGAAAAAAAATATATATTGTTCGGAAACTGTATTCAAAATTATCTTAAAAATGACGTTAAAACCTTTTGTCAAGTAGAGCGTGAGTTCATTGATCTGTCAACTTACGCTTCAAAAATAACAAAGCAAACAGTTTCCTCTATAGAGTCTTCGTTTTTTTTACTTTCTTATAGGAGTTTTATATGTGCACGCTAATAATCGTAAAAAGATGCCATTTTCAATACGATTTCGATTGCTAAAAATTTCAATATAAAAACGAAAATTATTAACGCATACACCGATCTTGAACCGGCCAGTGCAATAATTTAGCACGCGCTTATTTTAAAAAGCAAAACGCATAGATAACGTAATAACATCAACGCTTATTGCTATCACTAACACGTGGAACTGGTGTTAATTACATCACAAATGTTGTGTTAAACATTCAACAAAGAGCCCGTTTGCTTACGCGTTTTTTTTAATTTATTAAATAGGTAGGTACCTAATATTTCGTACGTAACTATTAAGCATCATTGGTTATCACGAATATAAAATATGGTATCCATGAGAATACTTTGATATGATTCAGAATTAATTCTAAAGTGAGACTCCAAACATTTTACATAGTTTTTTGTGTACTACAAGATTGTTTACGGATAATTTTGTAGTAAAATATAATAAGAAGCACGAAACATGATAAAACTAATCTTGTACGGGTCAAGTTCAATTGATATATTGTGTTCTATCTAGCGAAATGTTCATTAAAAATCCGTTCAGTTGCAGTGACGCGATCCATCCGAACTATCGTGATAAAATGTAGTTTACATTATGATTTTATTGTTGTTGGTTTTGTCGTTTTGTACCGCTCTGTGCATTGAAGACGACATAGGCTACGGATTGAACATTGGGAATGCCATTGATTTGTTCGCGAAGTGAGTTTTTTCACATACAATATTTTCATATAAAGAGTTTTTTTTTAAATCGTAATTAATACAAATTCGGTGTGAGTTTCGCTGTAAATCAGAGTTTTTTTTTTTTTAAATGGTTCACGTATTTTGAATTAGTTTTTTTTTTACATATTAAACAAAGATAAGAGAGTGTGTAGCTTTAATAGGTGAAGCGGGGAAAAGTTTGATAGCGCTATAATTTTAATGTCGACGCTACGATTTTTTTTTAATGACTATTCAATGGTAGGCTAAGGGTCTATTCCAGCTACGCTTTGACTGGTAGGTATGCGCACGGGGCTCAACCTGAAAGAGTTTGCTAACACTGACCCTAGTAAGAGCGTTGTTTCGTAGAATATACCTAATACAGGAGCGGTATCGCTACCCACTGAGAAGTTCCGGCGGGAAAGTCAGTGTGCCGCGTCGCCGGAATTTTAAGATTTCAGGACGTTATTGAAAACTCATTTTAGAGGTGTAAATAACCTCCACAGGCCGTAAACAACGTTGGGCACTGCCCTTGATTTTGTATGTATGTAGTTACACAATATTTAAATTCGCAATGAAATAAACAAAAAAATCAGAAATTCAATATTATAACTATTTATCTTAATTGGTTCCTGTTTCGTGAATCAATTTTGTTATGTAAAGAAAAATATAATGAAAGCATAACAATTTTTTTTTTATTGCTTAATTGGGTGGTCGATCTTCACAGCCCACCTGGTGTTAAGTGGTTACTGGAGCTCATAGACATCTACAACGTAAATGCGCCACCCACCTTGAGACATAAGTTCTAAGGTCTCAATGTAGTTACAACGGCTGCCCCACCCTTCAAACCGAAACGCATTACTGCTTCACGGCAGAAATAGGCAGGGCGGTGGTAACCTACCCGTGCGAACTCTCAAGAGGTCCTACCACCAGTAATATTCAGTATTGTTAAAATAATTTATTTCACTATACACCGCATTGAGTAATGAGGTTTAATATCAGTATGTAACATAAATAAACAGCTAAATAGAAAATCAATAAAGGGCCATTTCTTCTTTAGAAATCCAAAATTTGGTTTTAATTATTTTTTTCATTATAAAAAAAAGGTAATGATAAAATAAATCTACATTGTCGAATGTCAGGAATTTAAATGTGTAAATGCGCATTAAGTTTGTTTGCACTCGCTCTAAGCTATAGCCTATGGTTATGAGAACCAGAGACTAATAGGTATACGTACTTACATTTTCTAAAAATGAGGCCGTTAGCGCAAAAGTGGCCTAAGCTTACCATAGTTAGGTATTATGGAGCAATGAGGTTTAAATTTTCATGAATTTAAATTTGAGTAGGCAAAAACATACAATACGGCAATAAAATATGCGCAAAAATAATTGTCTACAAAGCCATCTGTTATCTATGGGTGAAACTATGGATAGTCGGTTTTCATCAAAATCTATTATATTTTAAGTAAATTGCAATATACATAATTATAAACATGATTATGAAAAATTGTGCGTTAGGCCAGTTTTGCGCTGACGACCTCTTAATTACGTATATAGATATGAAACCCTTAGAAAAGACTAAACAAACCTGTTCGTCACGCGAATGTTTGCCTGAAGTGGAAATCAAACCCAAGGCGGTCCTGATTATTTAAGTCAGCGTCGATTCCGAGTCATTGCGTTTTCAAATTTCATTAGATGCTGGCAGCGATAGTTAGTGTTTTCTTCCTGCCTATTCGCGGGTAGCTATTCCAGATACCTACTCTCGGCCGAGCAATTAATGTAAACAACATTTACAACAGGCAATTTCAAAACAGCAATCATTTCTATTGACCGTCTAGACATCTGCCGGCCGTCTGGTGTAGTGGTAAGTGACATGGTCACTACACAAGGGGGTCGCGGGTTCGAATCCCGCCAAAGGAAGATATTTGTATGATAAATATAAATGTCTTTTCCAGGGTTATGGATGTATATTAAATATATGTATGTGTATAATAAAAATCTTACATTTATATCCGTTATCTGGTACTTGTAACACAAGTTCTTTACGAACTTATCACGAGAACAGTTAACGTGGCGTGGTTGTTAGTAAATATTTATTTATTTATTTATTTAATATTTATCTGAAGTAAAATGTACTTTAAAATAGAAACGATTTCCGGTATCGACAAACTAAAAAAATGTATGTAGTGTTTTCATTTGCTGACCTAAATCCATTTGTAGCAAATTAATTCTGACTATCTAACCCTAAAGTGGCGGACCTTCTACCAACAATAGTATGAACTATTGATCGAAGTGGCAGACGCTAAAAATTGTTGACGGTTTAAATGCAAAAACTCAACTCAACTTCATGTTAACTAACAAACAATGATCATACCTTCACCCACTCAAGACACTCAGTCCAGTGTGCTTATTGCGAGTTTTTTAACGTTCTCGATAACGTAAAAGTTAACGCAAACGATTTGGAAAGTTCGCCTACATTTGCCGCTAGGGGCGCTGTTCCGACTCCATACAAATTAGAGTTAACTTTTACGCTATCGAGAACGTTAAAAAACTCGCACTAAGCATACTGCTCGATAATTGAATTTGGTTAATCTGAACATGTGTAGGAAGATCTGTACGCAGATTCCTCTGAAGGAGATTTAGGCAACCACTTGTAAGTCCATTTCTCGAAAAATACTCTGTGTTTTCTCTTTAAAATTATGTAAACAAAGTGGCGAAATGGAAATCGTAAATTCTAAAATATTAATAATACTTCATGACTTCACATGAACAAAATAATTAAAACAACATCACTGTTGAGACTGGAGCAATATTTATTTTTACAATTTCACGCGCGCTTTAGATTATAAGTTTCTTGATCTGTAACTAGTACTATTGTATTGTACGTATTTTTAGTATTTGTAAGGACAGGCGAAGACTGTGTTTTCGTTGTGAATATACATTTTGAAATTAAACAAAGGTGAGAATGTGTGGCGTTTATCTAGTTTATAATAATGAGATCATTCGAGTCGTAATCAGAATTTCAAAATCTACAGCTATGGCGATCTGTCGCAAGTCACTCAAGTCGTCTCGGCGGACTATGAAATGGAAGATGAACCCATTATCCCCTTCAGCGAGAAGAACATTCGCGTCTTCGCGAATGTGTCCAGTAGAATCGTAATGGGCGACAGCATCACCAACATAGACGTCCTGCTCTGCGAAAACTTTGAAGATCTACTCAATGTGTATTTTCAGAATTTCAAAATTGAGGGGTATGTTTTTTTTTGTCTGACTTATGCCGCTTTACAAAGACCAGATAAATTTAATCGTCGATGGACATGAATATATTTTTTTTTATTGCGAAGATGTGTGAATGAGCTCACAGTCCATCTGGTGTTAAGTGGTTACTGGAGCCCATAGACATATATTACGTAAATGCACCACCCACCTTGAGATATAAGTTCTAAGGTCTCGAGTATAGTTACAACGGCTGCCCCACCCTTCAAACCGAAACGCATTACTGCTTCACGGCAGAAATAGGCAGGGTGGTGGTACCTACCCGTGCGGACTCACAAGAGGTCCTACCACCAGTAATAAATAGTATGCAATCTAAATAGTATGTGCACTCAGCAAATCCATTTGAATGTTCATAGCTTTGGCTATTGAAAATTGAGGGATACGACCATGTATTCACAGGACCAGCAAACCTTGGAAGGCATTCCTCGGCGATTGGATTCACGATGAGATAATGAGGACTTTCGGCATTGAATACGACATGAAGTCGGACAACTGCTGCTACGTTCTGGTGAAGCTGACCAAGAAGCATCGTACCGTAGAGCTTGAAGACCTGGAAGGTATCCGGGTCAGGGCGTACATACAGAGAGCTATCGACAAACTAGACATCAACGATCCGGCAGAAATAAGACGATTTATGAAGAGCTACGGCACCCACTATATTGAATCTTTTGTGACAGGCAATTTTATTTATCAGGTTAGTGGATATATTAATTTAATTTTCTGACCTAGTGGACTGTGTTTAATTGGTTTTTGATTGACTACGACACATGACTTATCTACATCTACATATTTTCGTCCACTGAAGCTATAGCTGTTTTATAGTGCACTATAACTTATTTAAATTAATAGTAATGTCTCCTGTTACTAACAATATAAGCTAGTATTCGCCCAACGATCGAAATTGGACCATAAAGACAGACAACTCAAAACTTAAATTCATTTCATTTTGTATTTTATTAGGAGCGAAACGGCAATAATAAAAAAACAAAAAAAAAACNATTAATACTAATGTCTCCTGTTACTAACAATATAAGCTAGTATTCGCCCAACGATCGAAATTGGACCATAAAGACAGACAACTCAAAACTTAAATTCATTTCATTTTGTATTTTATTAGGAGCGAAACGGCAATAATAAAAAAACAAAAAAAAACGACGAGGCATATACCAAATTTAAACTGTCCCTACGACTTAATTCATAACATTATTTCAGACGTTGCGAATACTTAGAAGTTAATGTCACTGTTCAGAAGCCCGCCTAACGAAAAAAAACACGAAATTTAAAAGTAAAATTAATCGTCTGTATTGTATTTGACATTTTGAAGAGAAAAAAATCAGTTGTTGCATAACAATTGTCGTTAAAATTCTAAAGTCGTCAATCATCATCTAAGTATCTGAAAACTGTATATAACTGTTTTCCTTTTCATGTAATTACCATAGATGTAAAAAAAAAGGATTCTCGTTGACATTTGCTAAATTGATGACTTTTTGGCGGGAACGCTAGGAGTGAAGTTGTGTGATTTGTTTTATTTTGGCTATTTAGTGTTTCTTCGGGTATAAATGTGCAATAACGGTGGTTTATTAACTGTTTAGTATCTGTAAAAGTGCACAAATGTAGGAAAATGAAACAAAGCCGCTGAACGTAAATTCACGGGATCCTCCAAAAAGTCCACTGAAAAGGTCTCAATAAATGGTGTTCATTTACTGAGATTATATTTCATCCCATATCATCTATCTCATTTCATGCCAATTGATTAAGTTTCCATCGTTATTTTATTATTCATAAACTTTAGATAATTAAAACGGCGAATTATAAAAATCTTCTTACTTAGCGCTGGCTAATGCACAAACCGCGCCGCAGCCAAAAAATAAAATGAAAAAACGAAGAAGCTAAAGCTGATTTAAATTTTATTTCAGGTATTCAAATACAAACGGTCAGGCTACAATAGACTGAGGTCGTACATTAGAATAAGAAACAGTCGCCCCACTCTACCTGACAACCTCAGGTTTTATTTCTCGTCTTATTACTTGAAGCACGTCGGCGACATCAAAGTAAGTAGAACAAAACAAGGACGCATAAAACATAAACTATAGTTCTAAACAAAACTTGAAACTCTATTCACCAAATGAAAACCTTTTTTTTTATTTTTTTTATTGCTTAGATGGGTGGACGAGCTCATAGCCCAACTGCCCCACCCTTCAAACTGAAACGCATTACTGCTTCACAGCAGAAATAGGCAGGGTGGTGGTACCTACCCGCGCGGACTCATAAGAGGTCCTATCACTAGTAATTACGCAAATTATAATTTTGCGGGTTTTGATTATTATTACACGATGTTATTCCTTCACCGTGGAAGTCAATCGTGAACATTTGTTGAGTACGTATTTCATTAGAAAAATTGGTACCCGCCTGAGATTCGAACACCGGTGCATCGCTCAACACGAATGCACCGGACGTCTTATCCTTTAGGCCACGACGACTTCAACTTACTTACAGTAATACCCCCCGCAACACAGTAGATTTGTTCCGCGTTATAGGAATACGCGTTGTAAGAGTATTCTCGTAATAACGTAACATAAAAACGTAACGCAATATGAAAATCCGTTATAAGAGTACCTACAGTGTTATAGGGAGATTACTGTTAACTGATTACACGCTCACGATCGCGTAACAAATATACAAGGTATGAAGGAATAACACCCGAAACAGATACGATTAAATGGTGTTATTACCTAAAACAGAAAATATTCGGCAACATATAGATAATATACACAATGAGCGTATGTGATTTGTTTTTAATTGTTTATCTATAAGAATGATTTGGTCAATTGAGACAATAAATTTCACGTCGTTACGGATCAATCAAGTTCAATAACACTTGAATTAGATTAATTTAGCTCTAAGGCTAAGAGTTAGGGACCCCGGTAACCATACTCGTCGAACTCAACAAAGAGTTCGACGTGCAATCTAACCTAAATATCAGCCCGCTGAGTTTCTCGCCGTATCTATATAGCCTTTTTTTATTGCCTTTATAGGCAGACGAGCGTACGGCCCACCTGATGGTAAGTGGTTACCATCGCTCATGGACTTCAGCAATGTCAGGAGCAGAGCCAAGCCGTTGCCTACTTTTTTTTTTTAGCCTTTTCCTCTTCTGCTACCAGTGAATAAGTAAGGGAAAAATGTATTCTAATATTATAAGATACTAGCTGAACCCGTTCGCTTCGCTGGCCATTTAAGACTAACATTATTCTCACCCCCACAAAGATTCTCATCATTAACGCCCCCGCAACTGGTGTAGGGAGTCCAACGTTCATATAAATATTAGCCTATCCATTAAGTACATGTATTTTCTACATGGATCAAGTCAAGTTTCAAGTCAATCGGATGCACGGTTCAGTAGTTATAACGGAACATCCGTAAAAACCACTGTAGATTTATATATTAGTATAGATCGTTTATAACCCGTATTAACCCTGCCTATTTCTGCCGTGAAGCAGTAATGCGTTTCGGTTTGAGGGGTGGGGCAGCCGTTGTAAGTATACTTGAGACCTTAGAACTTGTATCTCAAGGTGGGTGGCGCATTTACGTTGTGGATGTCTATGGGCTCCAGTAACAACCACTTAACACCAGGTGGGCTGTGAGCTCGTCCACTCATCTAAGCAATAAAAAAAATAAAAAAAAAATTGAGTGCACTCTAGATTTCTGTAATGTCTAATTCAATATTCAAGGTGGCGAGCGGTAATAAAACAGTGGAGTTTTGGGCGCGGCGTAATCTCAGAGACAGCCAGTATCTGTATTCACGTCCCAGTCTACTTCGTCTGTATTACAACACGAATCTTCTTTACCAACTCAATGACATGCTAGACCACGGCGCTCTGATTGGCCTTAAACTCAAAACTTTAAGACCCATGTTCGAAGACAGTGCAATGGCCGAAAAATTCGCGGAAATCGTTGAAAACGACCTGCAGTTATGGGAAATCAATGCTTAGTACAATAAACTTAAGGTGGTTAACGCTTTGAAAGCATTGTATTAGTGACGCACCAGTAGCTGCATTAAATCGTGGGTAGAATTAATGTAATATTATTTTGTTAATAAACGAATTGTTATTATGAAATGAACTCTTAAATAAAATACATAAACATGGAACTATTGTTTTTTAGCATGCGATTATACGATTATACTTATATTACTATTACATTATTATATATTATATTACATATGTATATATTATACATTATTATATTACTATTGCATACGATTACTCAGAGAGTAATTGAATTTTTTGTAAGTTTATTATTATTATTTTTCCTACCTGTGCTGATAGCCTTGAGAGGCTATTTCAGCGTAACCTTAAGCAGGTGAACTCACGGGGCTCAAACCTGACTATTTATGTAGTTAACTGGTTGTATTAAGTAAATATTTTAATATTTTGCCAACCATTAATAAAATAGGTATACGAGAATACGCACATTTTGCGTATTTTACCGCAAAATCATATCCAAGAATCTTCATAAGTTCCATAGTGTTACAATAATATATAGATTCAAACCAATAATTTTATTTAAACGTGAAATGAAACAAACATACAATGGTTTTTATTATTTTATTATCTACGACTTACAGTTGTCATGTAAATTCTTTAATGAGCGATTTAATCGCTAATTTTCATTACAAATTCGTTATTTTAATTACAAATAGGTACTTCATTATTCATGAAACATTCAAAGCTTTTTTTTTATAATTTTACTATTCTTAACCACATTTAATTCAATGTGTTTTAATTATTTATTGATAAAAAACTACACATATAGTATGTGAAATTCACGGTTTACGGAATATTGATATCGAATTGCTTTGCTTGGATGCAACCAGATCGAGTTTAAATGGTTGGAATTCGAAAAAGAGAAATTTCAATTCTATTATTGTTTAAAAGTATATTAACAGAATTATTACATATATTTTTAAATAGCATTAATACTAATTGATTAAAAATAATTATCGCATAGGAATTAATCGTTTTTTTTTTAAGTGTTTCAATTGTGTAAATACTAATTTCACATTTTAAGCATATGTATTATTTAGTTCACTTTCAAACGAACCAAAAATTTTATACATCACATGTCCTACTCATTAAAATAAATAGGAAAATACGGTAACACCGAACCGCTTTTAGGGCGGGAATAATATTTTCGAACTTTTATAAAAGATGCGATTTGGCAACATTATTGTTTAATTTTAGTTTTGGAAACACTCTCTCAAAAATATTTAAATAATACATTTAATATATGAATTACGTTTAAATATAACATCAATTATAATTAAAAGCACACGTTCACACTTTATTTCAGTCTTCGCTTAGTAACCGTACGATAGCATATCGATAACACCATATATCGATTCGATTGTATCGATTTTTCTAAACGTTCTTTTTTTTTCTCTACCAAATTCAGCATAGAATTCTTTTCCGTGGTAAGGTTACCGGAATTCATACAAGTACATAGACCTCGAACGATTAACATATTTAAAAAAGATACACACTCTGATAGGGGGTCTAACCCAGACCCCAGGGTACTGTAGCCACGGGCCATTCTCACCAGGCCGAGGGGACGATCAAACCAAAGTTATATATTGTACAGAAGCTCAATATTCTTAGACACCAAGTGCACTTATTATCTACAAGAGGCGACCCGCAGGTTCGCCTTAGTGAAATTTCTAAGTTAGGGAGATGACACACGAAGCATTTTCCCGAGATACAAAGAGTTGTGTCACTCTCGGATCCATAAATATATATCTGGATTTACAGACAGAGACAGAAAACTACAAAGTCGAAATCAGCCGACTGTCTCTTTCCAAAGGTGCGATATGCAATATTTATCGCCGGGTACTGTACAGTCTTTGACGTTTATTTATATTATTATATATATTAACTAATCTTTTTTGCGGATAGCTAAATCTTTACTGCACAATTCGTGCTATATATTCGCTGAATTAATTAAGCATTAGAACGTTAGAACATCAATAGATCGACACCTTTATTGTTACGTCGTCCGTTCCTCGAAGGGTCATTACCAGTGGTCGGAGTAGGTAGATTGATTTTATATACTTGCGTCAACATAATACAATACGGACATGCCATTTTATTCACAATGATTATTTTTTTAAATTGAAAAAAAAGATATTTTTAATCCTCATCGGATACAATTTCTATATTTATGAGATAAAGTGACTACGTTTGACGTCAACGACCTTAAATCAATCTACTCCGACCTCTAGTCATTACAAGTACGGAGGGTAGAAGTAAAAAAGTGTCCGCTAAGCTAATTAAGATGGCGCCACAGTAGCAAGTGGAAAGACTTAAATAACAGCACCGTAAAATATCACACCTCACTCCGTTTAAAACTGCTATATTCATATTATAATTTCCACTTTCTACACTAGCGTTATTTCGGCGATACTTCCAATAATAATTCACTATTCACAAGCGGACGCTTTTTCAACTTGTCCCGTGTACAAGATGGCGCTCCTTACCTCTTATAATTACAAGTTAAATAAACATTACTTTTACGTTTTGTGTCAAAGTTTATAGGACTTATATTATAGAAAAAAGTGAACGGGGAAAACATATCGAGGGGTGAAAGGCGATTTGCTTTAAGCGACATTTATCTTTGTATTTAAAAGTGTTTTTTATTTAGTATTAAGCATACTTTCATTGTGTTTTGTTAAGCAGCAAAGTGTACTAGTGGTAGTCAAAATTCGACTATAATTTATTGAAATTATAACTTTGAACATTATTATGGTTCTATTGTCAAAGACTATTATTTTACTTCCTATAATCACAGATGTCGCCAAGACTACTCTTTAGACAAATAATAATTATGACAAACAATATTAAAGTATTCTCAATTTGACCACAGACTTTAAACAATAACAAAAGTTTGACATTAAACGAAGAGTATATATGCGTGAGTGTGTGTGTGTGTGTGTCAAATACACGGTAGTGTGTCATGTTTCTTTTATTGATTTAATGTATTTTTAAGCTCAATTTAAAAAAAATATTAGCATTCTGCACTCCCTCTCTATATTCTCTAGAAGTGTGAGAAATTTCATACGCAATTTTCGTAAAAGGGCTACAATGTTTTTGCTTCACGTATTAATATATAGATTCTCTCTCTCCCCCCTCTCTCTCTAAATGGCTCTCTTATGAAATTGCAAAAATGTCGCTTAAATTAAATAGCCATTTGCCCGTCGATATAGATTCTCTCTTTCTCCCTCTATCTCCCTTTCTCTTCTCTTGTGAAATTGCCAAAAAATGTCGCTTATAATCCAACTACCCTCTCAGCTGTGGACGCTATCCTCGTATCGTATTGTTGAGTGGGAGCGGTGTGTGGTAGTGGAGGCGGCGCGGCGGACTAGAGCAGGGGGCGTCCGCCGCCGGCCGCGTGCAGCCGTCAGTGCAGCTCGTAGGTGCTGGTGACGCGCGTGCTCGCGTACTGCTCGCGGCCGACGCGCCTGCCGTTCACCAGCAGCAGCGTCGGGTTGTTGACGCGGATCGACTTGAACTCGTAGCTCTGCGAATTTCATTTATTAACCTTTTGACTGCCGTTTAGGTCACCGCTGCCCTACGCGGCGCACTGATGTAATTATGTCGATATTAAGGCGCCGGATTCTCTAGTAGACTATGGGAAAGACGAATCCGAAGATGCTGAGATTAAATATATTACTAAGAGAACTAAAAGTCACTAAAAGTCAGTTCACGTTGTCATGTCTATGAGGTCCAGTAGCTACTCCGGAGCTCTCGTCTGAGCCTTTGTAAAAAAAAGTACTAAACACTCACGGCCAATTCGGACGCGTGTTTGTGTAGGGTCAGTACTGGTTCCGGTATAGTCACGCAGTCTCCAATGATGGCTCCCCGACCCGAGGCCCAGTTGTAGACGGTGACGCAGGCGCACTGCATGCCCTGACCAACGATTGCGAACGAACTGCGGAGGAATTACAATATCCTTAAAAAATATTTCCCCTACCTATGCTGATAGCCTTGATCTATATAGCTATATCAGCGTAACTTTAACAATTAGGTAAGCTCACGGGGCTCAAACCGGGAGTGTTGCTAACACTGGCCCTAGCAAGAGCAGTGCTTCGCAGAATCTACCACCGGATCGGAAAGGCAACCCACTGAGAAGATCAGGCGAGAAACTCAGTGGGCTGTGTCTATGGGTTAGTTTACTTGTCGAGCCCTTCGTCGCAAGCGACGGGTTCGGCGAGGACGGTGACCGGTGCTTGAGGTATCTAAAGCACCGTTAATGGATCGGGAGGATCTGTAATGACGTGTTCATGGCGAATCGTTATATAACCTTGAATCATGAAATAGTATCGATTATTTGGCACCTCCTGGTCTACGGAGGGACTTCGGTTCTCTATGTATTTTGTACTGTATGTTCCATGAAGACTACTATCAGGAACTATTTGAGATGATCCCCTCATCTCCTTTTTATCATCATACCGCCCGCTAGCTGAGCAGAATCCAAGTGCATTACTTAGAACCACTGCATTCTCTTCCTCCTCATTCCACGGTGTTTCCCGAGCGCTATGATCTGTCCTTGTTCAAACGAGGCTTGCGGAGAATACATTTTTTTTGCCTAGATGGGTGGACGATCTTACAGCCCATCGGGTGTAAACTTGTTACTGGAGCCCATAGACATCTACAACGTAAATGCCGCCACCCACCTTGAGACATGAGTTCTAAGGTCTCAGTATAGTTATAACGGTTACCTCACCCTTCAAACCGAAATGCATTACTACCTTACAGCAGAAATAGGCAGGTTGGTGATACCTACCCGCGCGGACTCACAAGAGGTCCTACCACCAGTAATAAAATACTCTTTTGTTTATTGTTAAAGTCTGTGGTCAAATTCAGAATAGATTAATATTGTTTGTCTTCAATATTATTTATCTATAGTGTATGTAGCCTTGGCGAAATCTGTTGTTATAGAGGTCTATGGTAGTCTTTGACCATAGACCCTTAATAATGTTCAAACTTACAATTTTAATTAATTATGGTCGAATTTCGACTACCAGGTGACTATGAGTAATAACTATTATTCTGCTGTTGAAGTGTATTTCCTTACAAAGGCACAGCATTTTCATTGTGAATGGAGCCAACGACTCTTCCTAATATGACTTTTCCTTCATTGAGTCCCTCGTGCAAGTCTTCCAACCGACACAGCTCTAGGGTCACGTTGCGACGACCACCGAATGTGTGCAAACCTTCTGGGCTGTATATTCCTAGCATCTTCTCGTCTATCGACTGAAAATTATAAAAAAATAAAAATGATTAGGTACAGTCAGAAGAAAAAGTAATGTTTAATTTCCGAAAAAAGGCCCATGTCCAGCAGTGGACGTCTGTGGACTGATGGAATGGAATAGAAAAATACAAACACTAACCTGTACCATCTGTGTCAGTTTCTTAACTTTAATCTTTCCTTTAGTTCGTACTAATTCATTTGTTTCGTTTAAATATTGTTTTAACTTTTGGAGTTCCAACTGTGGTGGTTCCCACGGGGGATCCAAACGACAAGCATATTCAAAGTTTTCTAATGCTTCATCGTATATTTCGTCATATTTCAAGGCCTGTAAAAAACATGTTGAACTAATGGATTACAATAATAAAATGCCGATCAAGAAATTTCAGCAACTCTTATTTCTGTGTCATTTTGCTAAACATAAATTAAGCAATTTGAATCGCGACGACTTATGTGTCATGTGTCCATTGACATTTGTGTTTGTTCAAAATTACAAAATTTGTAATTTTGAAGACTAGATCCATGAACATTTTTACTTGCTAAGTTATTTCAGGCCAAACTGTTTATTATATTATTTAACAAATTGTCGCTGTCAAACAAAAAATGTGCAAAACTCTATTTTGAATTAACGGGTAAAAACCATTTTCGTATAAAATTTTATATGAAGGTGAATTTTTAAGAACTAAGTATATCAAATGAAAGCTATAAATAAATATTAAAACTATAGACACATAACAGTTTTTTTTAAACCGTAGATAGAGTTGTGAACTATACGAAAAGGTCAAAAGTTCACGTAGCAGATTTTGGTTTGACAACGACGAAATGTCGCACGTTCCAAACAGGAATACTCGACAAGCAGTCACAGCAGAAATAGACAGATTGGTAGTACCTATCCATCCATTATAATCTATTTATGAATAGAAGAGAACTTACAATAGCCTTATTGTAGTACAAATCCGGCTGCCCCTTAGCAACAGGATCAGCCCAGGCTTGCCTATATGCTGTCATACATAATTTCAGAATTGCTGGATCTTGGGAGACCATAAAGAACTGGCATAATAAAGCATTCCCTAATACTGTCCATGAGATACCGTCTTTTGTGTCCTGAGATACAGCCTCTTTTGCAAGTTCAACACTTGTGCCAATCGCATTGGTGGAATCAGGACGTTTTCTGTCACCACCTTCTTGTCTCAAAATGATTGACAGACAACGTAGTGAGAGTCGATTCCTTTCCTGTAAAATGTATTTTTTAATTTTATAAACTCATTACATTGTATGTACCTTATTGTATATATAATTGGCTGGAACTCTCTTGCCTAAAATTCAATTAAAATCTGTAGCACATCATGTACTCACATGTTTCAAAGCAGCTTCGAAGCTGGCTTTAGCCTCTTTAACATTCATATTCTTCCAATAACATTCGCCAAGTTCATTCCAAGCATCCACCATGTGAGGATTCCACTTTACTGCTTTGCTGAGACAATGTGTAGCTCTTGCATCATATGTTGGACTAATATTATAGCAACGTCCTTTAAGGTATAAGAACTGGGCTCTCAGTGCTGATGGTATTTGTGCATCTGATAAAAATAGGAAAATATATTACCAAGAAAGCAGTATTTTTTGACTGTTGACAGAAATGTTAATATTCATGGAAATATTCTGTAATTATGTTCTTACATGGCCACCTGACCATGGATAATCTGTATAAAATGAGGATCAATAGTTTCAACATCTGTTTCACATTGCTCAATTGTCTTGTCATTTTGCTACTACTACTGCGATTCAAAAAGTGATATAACTAATACAATAAAACTTTGTGTTTCAAATTATTTGACATTTACTTATCTAATTATATCGATGGACTCCATTTCAAGATATTACTGTTATACATAATTACTTAAACCAATAAATTAATTTAAGATATACTAATTGACATACAAACCATCAATGGATTCAAACTTTTCTAAGAGTAGATTTTTCTTTTCCTCAACTTGCTTATTTTTTTCTGCAGCCATACTAATTGGTTGATTTTCGAAAAACAAGTTTCGAAACCTATACAATTCTTCTAGTTCTTTCTGGAAGATAAATTCTTAACTTATATATTAAGTATTAAAAAATTTTTTGGTATAAACTTTTTCGACCCTTACTATTGATCAGATTTTGTATTACTATTTGTTGACCTATTAATCTGTTTTAGACTATCCAATTTAATTATTGATGGTTTTTTATTAATGGTATTTACTATTTTGTTAATCTATACTGAACCAAAGCTCCAACCACAATGAGTAAGACTTAAGCATATTGTAGCATAAACACTTATATTTCAATCAAATATTTGTATAAATACATTCAACTATGCACTTAGTAGCTATATAAATTAATTTATTTAACTCTTTATTGCACATAAATGAAGAAGGCCAATACCTAAATTATATTTTCTTATATATCAATTTAGAATACCTATTCTACAATTACATGTTACTGCTTTCCTAACATGAGGAGCAGCAGCTCTTTCATCTAATTTCCTGCCTATCCTTGGTCCTAGCCTTCTCTTTAATCCTTATCTTGTAAGTGGCCTGTGGGTTCTTATTGATATTACCTCTCTGTGTATTTCAGTCATAAAGCAAACATGTGATATAGAATACGTTGTGGAACTTCAAATGAGATCTCTGTGGGTAGTAGCAAATTGAGGTACCTATATACCTTGGTCAGCATCAGATGAATCATGAGTTTCATGCACCAATATGCTATACCCAATCTTCTCTCTACCTAATTGCTGGTAGCCCAATGGGCTATTCCAACTACGCCTGGACTCGCTAGTCAGAAGCGTATCTTTAGTATTTCCTATCGATATTTATTCGAACTTATAGAAGACCATTATTATGACCATATACCATTATTATGACCTATTTACAGTTATAAGCTGTTAAACCGTGTAGTTTTCCACTAAAAACTCAAATTATTTATCATATGTGAATAGATTAAACTATTTTGTAATATTTCAGAAGTTTAAATGCATTGAAAAATAGTAAAATAAGAACAGATGTCGAGTATTGTACCGATAGATTATCCAGGACTTCTGCAACATTTTCTATTATATCAGCTTCCACTTCTGATTCCGACATTCTGACACTCAAACCTATGTCAACTTATTACTAAATTTGTTAAGTCCTGTGTGATACAGTGATAGTCCCTTTTAATTTAGAATGTATTGAACGAAATCTCAAAGACGAAATGTGAAAAAAATAAACAAAATTTTCGTTCTTCATAGATTACACCGATTATTTCGATTGATAATTATTTCATTGGTATGATCTGTGTACGGTTCAAAAACTATTTTATTCTTGTCAGCTGCTCCATGTGAGAAGCGAAGTGGTGTTAATTGTTATATTTCGTCAATTCTGGGGATTTAAATTATGGCTTATTAAATATTTAACGTCTATGAAAGCATACAAGTATGGGAAAAGGAAATGAATGAAAAATCAGTGGACATGGCTACTCGGACATCAAAGTGTCAATTAATTATATAATTTACTGAGGGATTTACTGAGTATTTTATCTTTTCTAACAGTACATGTTAATATGACGGTCATAAGTTTCTCTTTCATTCCACTTTTCCTATGAAAGATACCTCTTCGATCTGCATTTAAGGTAAGTTCCCATTGCCTGTCTAATGGACGTTTCAAACATAAAAAAGCACTGACATGCGAAAACGTCAAGTAAATGTCAAATATAACGCGAAATTCTGGAAAAGATCTGAATTTTAAAATTACGTTCATGATTTACATAACTAAAACGATACGAATAGTGCCACAATCACATTAATTACAACAAAAGATGAAAACAGGAGTAGCATACGGAATAGTCGCTAGTTCGAAAACACGTGTGAGATGTGTATTTTGTGGAGTACACATACCAAAAGCTACGAAATGTATCGAACAACACACAAATGGAGTAAAACACCGAGAGAACATAGAATTAATGAATGAAAACGCTATCGCCCTAATTAGTGATGCGTTATATTGTCGACCCTGTATGATTAACATCCCCGAGGACTATTCAATAACTAAACATATCGAGATGGAAGATCACGCAAACTGGATAGCTGCAATTGACGACCTTACTGACGGTGAGTTTATATCAATCGACTCTTATCTCTGCTCGGAGACCGACAACGTTCACTGCGAGGTCTGCAGCATGAATATCGTCTGCACACTACAAAATATCCAAAATCATGTAAATGAGTTTAGTCACAGAGCGAACATTATGGAGAGACTCAAGCCACTTAATGCTGTATTCTGTTCTGATGACAATGAAGATGCATGGTGCAAACTATGCGATGTGTACATTGTAAACACTGTTCAGAGTATACTTGAACACATTGATGATGATGAAGAACATATACAGTTGCTGGCCAGGCTCGAAGATATTGCAGAGGTTCACAATTTAAATATTGACAGTTACTTAATGAATGAACATGAAAATAACGCTTTTTGCAATAAATGTAACATTGAAATAGTCTGTAATGTGGAAAATATTGAAGAACACATAAATTCTAATTCACATCTAAATAATATAATAGTTTATTAAGGATCTTACTGACTTTTGAAATTGGAATGCCAACATTACATCAATTTTGAAATCTTTTTTTTAACTACATGACTTGAATCTTGTAAGGATAATCGTTCAATGATAATTTCTATTAGACAGTTTTGCTCTCACAAAAAATTTACTTTGAAAGGAACAAAAAAATACTTTTGTTTAGAACGAATACATCTCTTTAAAAATGTCATTTGTGTATTAATTTACTGTTACTAGAATTTAAGAAGACATTTAAAATGAAAAAATATTGGTTGATATCACAAATTAATTATTGCACAATTTAACTTAGTAAGCCCATTATTACATCTAGAAACATACAGTATTATGATTTAAAAATCATCTCAAAACAAACAGAGTTTATTAATAGTTTGTTCCCAAACTGTTCTAAAGCTAAAACACATAAACAACTATACTAGAGATATTGTTGACAAAAATACCTTCCTTACCTTAGAATTGTATCCTACAATATTCAGCTGAATCCATGGAGACCACTTAAATTGGATAATAAATTACATCACTTTTAAATGTGAGCTAACAACTGAAATCCAATTATAACCTGATTTTCATATTTACTTATATTTATCTTTATCCTGTCATATACTATCTTACCTATACTTATCTATCTAATCTGGCGAATCGTACATGAATCCTTTTATTTTGGCTGACCAATTTTTAATAGTAGGCAAAAGTGCTTTTGTAAGTTCAGTGGATGCTAATTAATTATTTTATTCAAGTTAGCATTCCTGAACATTGCCCTCACTTGATTACTAGCTTAACACTGATCATCACCTCCAATAATTATTTAAGTTAATTAGTTAATTGAAATGTTGTTCTTAGCTTTGTCAGCATTGATAAAACTTTTAAAAATGTAAATGTAAAGTATTAAGGACAATCTCTTGACTGTATTGTATTACTTTAGTTAGTAAGTATTCGCTGATTTTTTTTAAATTTTCTATTGTGAGTAAAGAAAAATATAACAATTTATTTTTTCAGAATGTTTTATTCACAATATTTTTCATAATACAACACAAAATTTAATATTAGAAACTATTAGTCACTATCTTTATTTACATGTTAATTGTAATTTTAATTTTAGATATAGAGTTACTGGTTGATTTACAAACATTAAAACCGAATGAAACTGATTTCGAGATAACTGATTCACACAAGATTGACTGCTAGTACCATAGGGATTAAACCTTCAAACATCACAAAAGTATTCACTATATAACTTGAAAAAAGAAAAGCCCAATATTTTACGACTAACCACATTACATTTTTAAAATTTTCTAAGCACATCACAAATTTTATTAGGAGACCAACCTATTTAAACTTAAGCAAATAACAGTAATTTTTATTAGTCATAGTTCCCATAGATCTGAATTATTTCCATAACATTTATCCTTTGCCTTTGTTCTGACAATTCATATAAACATTTTTTCAGTTACAAGAAATTAAGACACTTTCCATGACACAAATTTATATATTGTATTTGTTTTTATTTTATGGAAATAGCATTCGTTTTCTAAATATTATGTCCGATATACAGAAAACATAATTAGCTAATAAGTAAACATAGTTAATAAATTTTCTAAGTTCTTAAAATGCCCAAAATTTTGATTAAAAGAAACAGTACTAGAAAGAAAAAACAAAATTTAATGTCATCTTAAGCAGTTTGTAATGTTTTACATATGAGGCCGTCAGCGCAAAAGTGGCCTAACCCACAATTTTTTATATTCAAGCTAATATGTATGTTGGAATTTATTTAAAATATAAAAAAAAATTGATGCAAAACCGGCCTATCCATAGTTTCACCCATAGATAACAGATGGCTTTGTAAACATTATTTTTGCCCATATGGTTTTTTATCCGACTCAAGTTTAAATTCATGTAAATTCAAACCTAATTGCCTCCATACTAACTATGGCAAGCTTAGGCCACTTTTGCGCCGACCGCCTCATATATATGTAATTGATAAACTATACATAGGTACTTTATATCCGATATGCTCAAGCAAAAACACTTATATCATGAGAGAATGAATAAAATGTGTTGAAAAAACTGTCGAAAACATTGATATGTTTTTACTTTGAAACAAAAGGTTAAATTCGAAACTGACAAAGCACAGTGATATAAATATAAGTACTTAAAAAGACGGAAATTATTAAGGAAACCGCTAAATTAACGAGATAAAACAGATTTTGTAATCCGGCCAATACGGTTTATTTAGTTGAAGATAGCGTGCCTACTTGACGGAAATTCTAAATTCTGATATTTTTTTGTTTGGGCACCGATATACATTAAGTTTTTTTTCCTTTCACCTTTTTATAAATAACACACGTTGAAACGGCATATTATTGAATTTAAAAATAAATATATGACAAAAGAAAATAAAATATTTTTTATTTCCCCAAAATTATGATATTTACTTACTCAAACAATTAACAAAATCTTAAAATCCTATTTCTACATCTTAAGTTTGAGTAGAGGCTGTCTGGCAATGAATCGTTGAATGAATGTTACGTTGGAAAAAAGGATTTTTTTATTGCCATAAGTAGACTGTTTCTTTTTGTCCTACCTAAGCTGAGAGCCTCGAGAGGCTATTTCAGCGTAACCTTAACTAGTAGGTGAACTCACGGGGCTCAAACCTGACGAAAAGTAGACCGAGCCCGGCTTACCATCATTTATTGTGACCGTCACTCAAGGACGCAGTAATGTCAGGGGGTACACCCAAGCCGCTGCCTATTTTTGAAAACTCTCCTCAATTCATTTGAAGAAGGACACGTCATAGATCTCGGATATGGCATGAAGGAGAGTTCATACCAAAGTCGATGGGCACATTCACTCATCATTTATTGCATCTCAAATAATAATAATTTTATTAGTCATCAAATGGATAATCGTCTTCATCCTCTTCGGTAATCGCAGTCAATATTTCGTTCGATCTCATTTGAGACCTTTTCGCTATGGTTCCAGAAGGCTGAATGCCCTTGAAATTCTCTTCTGATGGTTCTCCTTGGATTTCTCCGTTTCTTAACTTCATCCTCTCTTCATCCAAATTGATTACTTGGTTGAGATCTTCGGAGCAACACTCAATGCGACTTATACAGTTTGTTATGTGATTTTGAAGAGTGCTGTATGTAGGTATTTAAAAAGTATATTAATATACAACTATTCGTGTGAATTCATTAGATATACATGCAGTGTGACTTTATCACATAGATTAAATAATGTTATTGACTGAGAGACATTAAATATCTCTTGTTCACTTTTGTAACAAAGTGCATTATCATTATCGGCAGTAGATGAACTGAAGATTCAAAACTCAATAGCCTGAAAACTTGAGTTTCTTTGATAATACTATTTTACTGACGGTAGGGCGTCTTGTGCTAGCACCACCCTGCCTATATCTGCCGCGAAGCAGTAATCCATTTCGGTTTGAATGGTAGGGCAGCCGGTTATGGTTGTACTGTAAAGCGGAGACTTAGACGTCAAGGTCTCAAGTTGGGTAGCGGCATTTATGTTTTTGATGACGGGCTCCAATAACCATATAAAATTAATTGGGTCGTGAGTTTGTCCACTCAACTAAGCAAAAAAAAGTAAGAAGAATGAATCTAAGTCATTAGACGTTATACTTGACTATACTTTCGAAGGGGTCTTTCAAAAATATACCAACGTGATTCTTGACCGGTTTTTTCTTAATTCGTTAGTGAAATTCCTTAATCTGCCAAGTTCATCTCTCAATTTTCTATCCACGTCATCTTTGGTGAGCTCTCCGACGGGTCTCTGAGAGCGGTCAGTTATTCTGGTTTCAATAAGTCTTTCTTGTTCTAAGTTTTCTAGAAGATTCTGTTCCGTCGTCGTTAATTCCTCTTCCAAAACATTGAAGTCTTTAATGGCCTACCGATTTTAAGTTATCAATTAAAATTACAAAAATACAATTCGAATATTATTCTAAAGTGTAATAAAGATAATCCTGTAGGACGTGTTAGTTAATCAGTTAGTTTGAAAGAAGCATATGTACCTCTTCTCTCTGCCAACATAGATCTTGAAATTTCAGTTGATTAGCGTGCAGTCGCCTTTTGAGAATCGAGTCCACCTTAGCTGCATAGCCCTGGGCAGCTATTGAAATTTGAATTCTCGCACCTCTAACCTGTCATAAGTCATAATTTGCTCACCAAGTGTTAAGTTACACATTATTATATATATTTATTTATCTATTTCAAACCGTTTAGTTTAACATTATATAAATAATAAGTAGGAACAAAAAGCAAATTAAAGTTGTACACCAATAAACACGAGTTAAAGTATTAGAAAAACAAAAAAAATATCCCAAGACTTAATGAAATATACAATAAATTAGACCGCAAGATATAAAAATCCACGGAATAAACCCAGACTAGGCATTGGGTGGCTCAATATTTAAGAAGAAAAACAATGAACTGTTGTTAAAAAAATTGGAAGACAAGAAATCGAATAAAACTCAATACAGTTTATGTAGCTATTAAGTCGTTCCGTTGCCAACATTCCTATTAATCATCAGACCAGCTCGCATAATTATCTAATAGTTCTATGAATCAAAATAAGATTAGAAGATGCCTTAACACACTCGCATGTTTTTTTCTTTTCTTTTCCCAACCTAAGCGTTGGTAGCCTAAGGGGCTATTCCAACTACACGCGGACCGGTAGGTGAGCTCACGGACTCAACCTGAGAGAATTGGTAACAGTGGCCCTAGCAGAAGCAGTGCTTCGCAGAATCTACCCCCGGATCGGAATCGTAACACACGTAAGGTAAATAGAACGTGTCAAAATTACCTGCTGTCTTGTTATTATGGCATTTCTTAAAGATTTAAGACCAGCTTTTTTTAATGAATCACACCTGTTTTCCCAACGAGATAATGGCGAGCTTCTGAAATGCGCAAAAATTGAAAATTTACAGGAAGTATATAATACGATTCAGACTGCAATCTCCATCTATAAAAATAAATTTGAAAAGAACGACTTGAAGACGAAAATGTTTCATCAATTTGCCCTAAAGTATCTAGTCTATCCTCCTATCTGCAACGAATCTATATCTACTTAAAATGATTGTAAAATTTAATATGCGTATCTGCTACTATATTATCATTAATTCTTTATGAGGAAAAAATGCAGCAACTTAAGATACCTCCGTTTTTTTTTCTTTCTGTTCGTCAATATTGAACCAGAGTCAATGTTGGCACAAGCATCTTCTATGTCTAAAGTTTGCTGTTTCTTCAGAATATCCAATTCTATTCGCTTTTTCGTTTTCTCTACATTAATTATTTGCTTTTCTAATTCTGTTAACATCTTTTCAAATTTCTTTTTTTCGTTACGTAGAAAATTTTGTTCCTAGAAAAGGGAAACTTTCGAGGAAAGGTTTCGTGTCGTGATTTAATCTATATTTTAAGGGTTAAAGTATGGGGTCTGGGGGTAAAAATGTATCACGTTGTTTGTAAATAGGAAGCTTCAAGGCTTGCAGAGACTTTGCAGAAGAAATAAACATGTAGGTATTTGTTTATTGCCCTGATAGACCGAGCACAGGATTTTAGTGTAAAGTGGTTAGCAAAGTCAATAGATAACCTGATACCGTGAATCGTGGTCGAGGAATGACGTCAATTTTCTTGTATAATGATCACCCTTCAAACTGGAGCGCATTACTGCTTCACTTCATCATATGAAAAAACGTGCTATTCTATAGATATTATAATAATTTGTTAGGTTCATCATCCCATTGGTTCCAACCAATCGAAGAGTACACGATGGATTTGAATCGCTTCCAATTTCTCACTTGAAATGTTTGGGAAATGATCGTTCTCGCTTAGCAGGTCATTTTTTTTTACCTGAATTATAGCATCTTCAACGCTATCAGCCAAAGCACCCAGTGACGTCAGCGCACCCTGTCTGGAGTAGATGTTCAGTTCATCATCGATTCTCCGGATCACTACTCGCAGAGCGTTGTGCTCATGTTGCAGAGCCTCGATAGATTCTTCGAGACGCTTCGCTAGATCGACAAGAACCCAACGCCACGAAGATATATCTGAAATTCTGCATTCAAGTAATAAACAAATAGCTAAACCCATTCAGTTGTTAGGTCAAGTTTTGTTTGCATCATTGCTTATGGACCTGTTCAATAAGGCACAACCAAATCATTTAATAACGCTGTTAAAGGTCTAAAATTCGTTTCAAAAAGGACATAGACATCTACATCGTAAATGCCGCCACCTACCTTGAGATATCAGTTCTAAGGTCTCGGTATAGTTACAACAGCTGCCCCACCCTTCAAATCGAAACGCATTACTGCTTCACGGCAAAAATAGGCAGGGTGGTTGTACCTATCCGCGCGAACTCACAAGAGGTTCTACCACCAGTTTTTATGCAAATTATAGTTGACCTGCTGCTGCGAAGCGTTGTTCATTATTTTTCCCACTTGTATTTCAAGGTAGGTTGTTTGGTCTACTTGGGACCAGGTGGTCGGTGTGCTCGTCTTTCGACCGTCTACTGCTTCTGGATATTGGACATGCTTAGTCGTTCCCTACTGCTAACTATCCTGCTTAAATGTTGATTGAAGAAGAACGTTTCAATCAATTGAGTAATTGGTAATTGGTTCATTTAATGATAATAGTCCCCTAATAGACCTAGTAGAGACTGGTGGTAGGACCTCTTGTGAGTCCGCGAGGGTAGGTACCACCACTCTGCCTATTTCTGCCGTGAAGCAGTAATGCGTTTCGGTTTGAAGGGTGGGGCAGACGTTATAACTATACCTACTTGAGATCTTAGAACTATATCGCAAGGTGGGTGGCGCATTTACGTCGTAGATGTCTATGGGCTCCAGTAACCACTTAACACCAGGTGGGCTGTGAGCTCGTCCACTCATCTAATCAATAAAAAAAAAGCTGCTGGTAACAGGCAGAGAGAGGCAGCCAGAGGCAGAAGTCCAATGTGCTGGTCGGATCACATACGCTCCACTCTCGACACTTTAGTCCACGTTGCCATCCACGCAGCCGTGAATAGGCAGAAGTGGCGCAGGATATCCCAGGAGAAAGTTATTAGAGGAGGCCACGACTCCAGCATTGAGGATTGTTGATACAAGGAGAAAGATGAGTGGCTACCGTCGCCCATAGACGCCAGCAATGCCAAGTGCAGAGCCAACCTTCTGCCTAGCGTTAAACCTACACACAGAAGACGCAGTAACGTGGTAGCGTGTAACTAAATTACCAAATTAAGAGCATTCCAGGCTTACCTTTGCTGTAAGCTCTTCTTGAACAAATACTCGTTACTTTCGTGTGCAAAGCTATTCATCATGACAAGTTCTTGCGTGTCGACCATCTGTTCAACTACGCTTTCATTCAGTTTGTCGTTAAGTTGTCTCAGGCTTTCGACATTATTGCCGGCTAGCAAATCGTCAAAAGACATCTTCCGGTGCTTGAGGTTTATTTAAATAAAATTAGAAATACGTGTATGAGAATTTTTATAAACGATCTTTTAGGTTATTTGACGTCTGTCACATTAATTTTGTCATATAATGAGTAGTTGAAAGTAGCGATTTTACTCTTTGTTATCGATAAAAAAGTATAACAGGTCGCGGAAAATTAATAATATTTAATGTTTCGTTGTTAATATTGCTATGCGCTAATTTCGACGGGATGAACGACACTACAAATGTGTACTAGAATTTCAAGCTTTTACTATTTAGGTAAAGTAGATAGGACACTATTCTGTTTTTTTTTTGTACCTTACGCAATCGAACAAGCTTACAGCCTATCCGGTTAATCCAAATTTTTGTAATGGCACTTACTTTGTCCGCCTTTTAATAAAAATTTACGCACAGGATCTGTGTGGCTAGTGCTACTTTTTTAACGTTCTCGATGGCATAAAAGTTAACTCCAATTTTATGGAGTTGGAACGTTTGCCTGCATTTGCCGCTAGGGGCGCTGTTAACCAGTAAGAGCCATTACAAAATTTTTGTCATTAATTTCGATGAGCGTTTCTTCTGCAGTCTCCGAGTATAATCTTACCATAATATATTTTTTGGAACGAAGTTCCTTATCGCGCGTTGTGAAAGGGGGCTAGACGGAAAAAATTCTTACGAAAAGTTGTCACGACACTTTTTAGATCCGTCATTCTGACCAATCAACGTGTAGGCGCTTATCGCGTGACATTGCTCGTATCCGATTGGTCCGCGTAATGAGTACAGTTTCTCGAGATAGTGTTTCAACAATAGTAATTTAGTTCATAGTATTGTTTTTTTCTTCTTCATAATGCCGTAATTTATTATTATAACTTAAAAAAAAAATTACAATTCCTTCACTAATTAATCGAAAGGAACTTCGTTCCATCCGGGTGTCCCTTGACACCTATAAAGTTTTTGTTTAATTGAAATAACTTTTCGTTTTGTTTAAAATTTATTCAAGAATTAAATAAGTTACAATGTCACTGATTATATTTGTTCACTTATTTTAAGCGTACATTGATGCTCACCGAATATGCTTAAAACAACTTAATTATCTATTCTAGTATCGTGTGAGTAAAAGCTCAAAAATAAAGTGGCATATATGTAAATAAACGTTAGTAAGATTATAAATAAACTTTATATGAAAAGCTTATGAACTTATTTATTTCTTTGATAATACATTTCCTTTAAAATAGTATAAGCAGGACGTAAGATTACAAAGTACACAAGTTCGGCGACACTGATGATGCTAAAGCCCAAGAATAGACTCAACAGTCCCCCAATAGCACCTGAAAAATGAACATGAAATAATAAGAACCAGTATAAAAATCCAAAATTCTAACATAGTATTATGAAGGATTCCCATAGATCTAAATATCAAAGATACAGCAATAGAAAGAAAAAAATGTATGCACTGATCCACATTCTCATACGGACGCTTTGAGCCATTACTTTTAAAGCACTGCTCTTGCTAGGGCCAGTGTCAGTAAATTCTTTGTGGCCCTGAGCCAACTCACCTGTCAGTCGATTAGGTAGGGAAAAAATATTTATATGATAATAGCGTGATATTAATACACAAAACACAATGCTTTTCAATCTGAGTTTACTATTTTAATTTCATGTCTACGCATAAAAATATTGACACGTGCTCCCGAGTGGAATTTGTGTATTATGAGGTCAAAGATTTTTTGATAGATGTCACTGCGTGGGAGCGAAGTGCTCTCTTCCAACGTTCTCAATTAGTATTGTGTTAATATCTTTTTTTTTTTTTAATTACTCTTGGCGAAAAAAAAAGAAATTAAATATGAAAAACAAGCCGACTGAGTTTATTACGCCAATTTTTTAAAAGATTGCGATTGTATGTTGTTTTGTGTTATTAAAACAGTAATCTGAAACATGCCTGCAAAGTAATAATCGTCGTATTGTGCGTGGCGGTGTTGGCCCAGGAAGAAGTCTTCGTAAAAGTGCACGTTGATCTGGGTTACTTCACTTCTGTATGTATAAAAAAAAACAATCGTGTAATTTTTTAAAAAAAATTTTTTTCCTACCTAAGCTGAGAGCCTTGAGAGGCTATATCAGCGTAACCTTAACTAGTAGGTGAGCTCACGGGGCTCAAACCTGACGACGTTGCTAACACGAACCCTAGCAAGAGCCGTGCTTCGCAGAATCTACCACCGGATCGGAATTCGTGTCATCAAATGTACGCTGTTTTTATTGCACATCATCTCAATGTGAATAGTGCGAGTTTTTTTAATTCGTATGCAGTTGGTACAGCGCCCCTAGCGGCAAACGCAGGCAAACGTTCTAACTCCATACAAATTTGAGTTAACGTTTACGCGATCGAGATCGTTAAAAAACTCGCACTAGGCACACTGATGAGCTTTCGGACTCACCTGTTCCAAACATATTATGAATGTGTCACCCTAAGACATTATATCGAGTTTTTATTGTACAGTATAGTTACACAATTATAATCAGAACGCATGACTATTACCTGGTTAAAATAATATTATTAATAGACAAATAAGCAGAATTACATGTATGTGCCCGTCCTATTGTTGATACTATGACGAAACGCGTCCTGACAACTCTACGAGCAACTATATCGAATTCCAAGACAATAAGGAATACAATAAATATAATTAGCGATGCTTACTTAGAATTAGTTAGAATGCAGCAGACAAGTGCATGCTTATTTTTAAATTTGGCAAATATTCGATTTTGCATTTTACAAAATGTGAATAAGCAATAAGGAATCATTTGGATAATTAAGTCATTCTGGAATATTTGCCCGTAAGGACTTTATCGCAAGAAAATTTATCGAAATGTCTAATTGGCGAATATCATTATTTTTATTTAATTCGGTTTAGTTAATAAAGTTATAGATTAATATCTGATTTCAACAAAATTAATTAAAATTACTTTTATGATTTAAGCTCAGGTTTTTTTTTGGTTAATTGTGGGTAACTAATAAAAAATATATTATTTTTTATTACTTAGATGGGTGTACGAGCTCGCAGCCGACCTGGTGTTAAGTGGTTACTGGAGCCCATAAACATCTACAACGTAAATGCGCCACCCACCTTGCGATATAAGTTCTAAGGTCTCAGTATAGTTACAACGGCTGCCCCGCCCTTCAAACGCATTACTGCTTCATGGCAGAAATAGTCAGGGTGGTGGTACCCACCCGTGCGGACTCACGAGACGTCCTACCAACAGTAATGCATGTTGCAAAGCATGTTTCTGCCAGAAAGTCTCGCTTATTAAGACAGACTAAAGCATTCACATTGTTATGAATAAGTTTTACTGAGACTAACGCTAAGACTGCCTCACGGCAGAAATAGATGTACTTATTAATGCAAGCAGCGCAGGACCGATCGTTATGGCGAGGCTTGGGCGAGGCCTATGTCCAGCAGTGGAAATCTGTGGGCTGATACAATAGAATAGAACGATTTTAAAACTAAAATTTGAACTTACTGGCCCGGAATTCCCCAATGAGGTGTACCATCGCCGTAGTCTCTAATAAGGTCTGAGTAGAACACCTGGCTGGAGTAGATCACATCATTGCAAGAAGGATGACAAGATTTGGATTGTTCCCGTTGCTCCCTCCGTTCTTCGCTGTCAGCGTAATAAGCGTAAATTAATTGTTCCTCAACTTTCCCTGTATGAAAAGGTTCACGTATTACGATCAGTGTCTAGAGAATCTAAGTTGAAACTAGTTTTAGTTATAGCATGGTTATTACCATAGTTATACCATAGTTATAACATAGTTATAACATAGTTATAGCATGGTTATGGCATAGCTATGACATAGTTATAGCATTAGTTTTCACGAGTCCTAGAAATATCAAAAGCTACTTTTCCGATTTAAAACTCACGGTTTCTGTGGCTACGCTCACTGACCGTAATGTATTCGAAACGTCGGATATAATATAATTAATTACCAACAAAAGGAACGCGAGCTTAACCGTAAAAGTAGTTTTAGTTAGTTTTATTTAAATCTATATCTGTATATAAAAATGAATTGCTGTTCGTTAGTCTCGCTAAAACTCGAGAACGGCTGGACCGATTTAGCTAATTTTGGTCTTGAATTATTTGTGGAAGTCCAGAGATAAATATGAAAATGGTCGGAATTAAATAAAAATAACAATTTTGTTTTTCCTTTGATGTGTCTCCCGACGGACGGATTCTGTTTTGTTTGTTTTAAGTTTATTTTTATAAAAGTTTAGGTCTTTTATTTATCGATTGAAGCACTACGAAGTCTGCTGGATCAGCTAGTTATTAATAATTTTCACAAGATTTTTTAGCTCTATCAAATATTAATGCAATGATAGAAAAAAAACCAAACTTTCTATTTCAACATTATTAATGGGTAAACAGTGGAAAAAGCTGAACGTGAAGCTAGCAGTCCACTGTTCTCGAGTTTTAGCGAGACTAACAAACAGCAATTCATTTATATATGTAATAGATTATTAATGAAGTACAAAACAGTGCTTACCGTTTACATTGGTAATGCATTGGAAATCCTCATCAGTCGAACAGACTGACTCCTGCAGACTTACTCCTGAAAAACAAGTTTAACTACCTATGATGCCTACGTACAAAACTAAAATGTGTACCGCATTAAGTGAAACCATTAAAATCATAGAGGCACACTTTGTTAAAACTTTTTTACTTTTTGAATAACTTTTTTTAATGTTATTGCTTTTTTCTTGGCGATTTTAAAGATCAATTTTACTTCCAAATAAAAGTGAGCATTCCAAGCAAGATATAGTACACGTATTACAAAATGAAATATTAATTGTAGGTGAAATGCTCATGGCCATATTTTACTTGCATTTGCTTTGCTTGGCCTGCTTGCTGAAAAGGTTTTTACCAGACATTGTCAATTTTCAGAATCATTTGTCATAATGATTCATAATTAGAATACAGTAGTAAGTGTTGTATATCGAAAAATAACTGATTGTGGTATCAAGTGTAGCTATCATCAGTGGTAACAAGCTGCTGAATATTTCCTTGAACCTTGCCAAGGAAGGTTCTCGTAAACATCAACACATATACGTCTCTAAATACTAGTAGTAAAGCGTTTTGTAAGTCCACAAGGTACCACCACCCATCCTATTTTTTGCCGTGAAACAATAATGCATTTCGATTTGTAGGGTACGGTAGTCGTTGTAATGTACTATAAAATTGAGACTTACACGTCACAAGTTGAATAGTGGCATTCAAGTTGTGATTCTCGGTTAACCATTCAGCACCAGGCGATCTCCATACTTACTTGGCCAGTTGAAGAGTACACAGTTACACATCCTCCGAGCCTCCTTCACCAACAAATCATGCTGGCAGTTACTGTCAGTGTAATATTCGTAATGCTCAAGTCTTCTCTCGTTCTGAAAGGAGCACTGCCTCTGATACGGGGCTAGTGACCTTAAAGATGAGTCGGTCTTGTAGGTTATTGGCGACACTTCGATTGTGGTCATTCTGTCCATTGGGATTCTGAGTACGGTGCTGGTGTAGACGTGGTCAGCTGGAGAGCTTATCAAGACCTGAAAAGACGATTACTGATAAAGCTCTATTCATAGTTAAACGTTATAATGTTACGAAAAGTATAGAAACTGTGAATTGAGAGATAGAAGTCGTCGTGGCCTAAAGGATAAAACATACGGTGCATTGATATCTAGCGATGCACCGGTGTTCGAATCCCGCGGGCGCGTATATGTACCAATTTTTCTAATGAAATACATAGGTGCCTACTTAACAAATGTTCACGATTGACTTTCGCGGTGAAGGAATAGCATTGTGTAATAAAAATCAAACCCGCAAAATTATAATTTGCGTAATTACTGGTGGTAGAACCTTTTATGAGTCCGCACGGATAGGTACCACCACCCTGCCTATTTCTGCCTTGAAGCAGTAATGCGTTTCGGTTTGAAGGGCGGGGCAGCCGTTGTAACTATACTGAGACCTTAGAACCTTAGAACCTTCAAAAATATCTCAAGGTTACGTTGTCTACGGGCTCCGGTAACCGCTTAACACCAGGTGGGCTGTGACCTCGTCCACCCATCTAAGTAATAAAAAAGTGCACGCTGTAAGCTTTCTTCTAAAATTGGTAATACCACTGTCACACACAAATCAGTTCGTAACTAAACATTCTTAAAGCCTTTAGGGAAAACTAATAAAAAACATATTATAATAAAAATAATGCTTTACTGACCGTGAAACCCAAGCTATTTCCATCGCAAGCATATTGATGTTCGCTTGTATTTAAAAACAGTTCTAAACCCAAGCCGTTAGCCTCTCCCGATGCCATTACCCTCAGTGGTTGCATATTGACGTCTGGCGGAAATGTCTTCGGATAACCGATATCTAAGCCCCACAGTAATGATTTCGCTGCCGATTGTGGATTAAAAGATTTTTGCCAAGCCAGTGTGCTGTTCGTCCTGTCAAAACATTTTAAATTGTTTTGTCTTTCAATCGAAAACGGACTCTCGGACTATCTAATGTAAAGTGGTTATCGGATGAGCTTATAGTCACTAGAAATCTAAAGTGCGTGGTTGCTAAACGGCAGAAATCGGCAGAACTGTAGAACCTACTCATGCGGGTATACAATATACCAGATCCGCAGTAGATGCCAATTGGTGATTGCAATACATTGGCTTAGCAATAGACAAATGTTTATCGTTAAAGTCTGTGGTCAAATTAAGAATAGATTAATATTGTTTGTCTTTAATATTATTTGTGTATAGTGTAGCCTTGTGATTAAATAAGTATTATTAAAGAAGTATAGTCTTTAACGATAGAAAAGCCCACTGACTTTCTTGTTGGATCTTCTCAGTGGATAGCGACTCCGATCCGATGGTAGATTCTGCGAAGCACTGCTCTTGCTAGGGCTAGTGTTAGCAAAATCTCTCATGTTGAGCACGTAAGCTCACCTACCCGTCCGTAAGAAGCTAGATTAGTCCCTTAGGCTACCAGCGAATTGATACGGAAAAAAGCATTCATTTTGTAGTCGTCGTGGCCTAACGGATAAGACGTCCGGTGCATTCGTGTTGAAGCGATGCACCGGTGTTCGAATCTCAGGCGGGTACCAATTTTTCTAATGAAATACGTACTCAACAAATGTTCACGATTGACTTCCACGGTGAAGGAATAACATCGTGTAATAAAAATGAAACCCGCAAAATTATAATTTGCGTAATTACTGGTGGTAGGACCTCTTGTGAGTCCGCGCGGGTGGGTTCCACCACCCTGCCTATTTCTGCCGTGAAGCAGTAATGCGTTTCGGTTTGAAAGGTGGGGCAGCCGTTGTAACTATACTTGAGACCTTAGAACTTGTATCTCAAGGTGGGTGGCGCATTTACGTTGTGGATGTCTATGGGCTCCAGTAACCACTTAACACCAGGTGGGCTGTGAGCTCGTCCATCCATCAAAGAAATAAAATTAAAAAAAAAATCGTATTAAACTGTTGTCAATTCTCCGTTGACTATTTTAGTGCTATTTACGGCACCCGCCGAAAGAGATGTGTTAGTGCTATTTTGGGCCAAACTAAATAGCCAAAATCTTCATAATATTTACATTCCGTTCAGGGGTAGGCTGTTGAATGCGAAACAGAGTCCGTAGTTGGTGAATATAGGCTGGAACATATCACAGCAGTTTTCAGTGTGCCATTTATTGTTATGTTGAGTTGGCCAGTTGCAGGTTTTGACGATGTCCGTACAGCTGGGTGATCCCTACGAAAACAGGAAAAAATATCAAAGCTGTGTGTTGGTAGATTGAATAATACATAGCTTTCGTCGATTTATTGGTTACTAGCGACCCGCCCTCGCTTCGCGTCGGAAACATTACGTTTTATTATCGACGATGTTACCCGCGGTTATTGTCGTACCGCGGGTGAAGCAGCGGGGTGAAGCTAGTCTAAAAAAAGTAGCCTGAATTACTCCTTATATCATCAGCTACCTATCAGTGAAAGTCCCGTCAAAATCGGTCCATCCGTTTCAGAGATTAGCCGGAACAAACATACAGACAGACAGACAAAAATTGTAAAAAAATGTTATTTTGGTGTAGGTACCGTATATATATTCATATGCATGTAGTAAAAAGAGGCTATTTCAATATTACAAACAGACACTCCAATTTTATTTATATGTATAAATGTATAGATTAAGAGGACCATGGTCACACTAATTCAAAATTAAATTTTGTGTTTCTCCTATTGTTAAAAAGGTCGACTTGCCACAGAAATAGGTAGAACGGTACTTGGAATACCGTCTGCCTTCATTAATTGATCACCTAAGGCATTAGGAAGCATGGAGTTTTGGTAGAAAATTAGGTATGGATACTGATACTACTGGAGCATGATACGAAAGTGTCTCGAGAACCTTTAAAGAAAAGTAATACACCCATATACTATACTATGAGTAAATTTATATATAAAAAGGCAAAGAGGCAACAATTAAGGGCCACTTTTTTCTGTTTTCCACTTATTCTTATAAATTTTAGTGTTTTCCATTAATTAACTATATAGAATTTGATCGGGCTACCTTTCTATAAATCAAAAAACAAAAGAAAAACAATAATCTTAAACTAAATTTAAATCTTAAAGTCCGTAATTTTATACAGACTTTTATTAATACTACTACGAATATTCTCCGAGAAAACTAAATTATTAATAGTCATTTTGAATTATAAAAATATTAAAAATGACGTTCTTTAGTTCGTTGAGTTTGTAAATAGTTGAATATATAATTTGAAAAAATGATTCATTTTTCATTAGTTTAGAATTCTAAATATCATAATTAACCATGACGTAAGACTATGACATTCTATCTATTAATGAAATGAAGAGGCTTTTTAATCACAATTTTAAAATAAGAATGAAAAACCTTTGCAATTCTTTAGATAAAAAAATGCGGTACCAGAAGACAACTCTCAAAAACAAAAACAAACCTTTACTAAGAATCTCAGCAATTGATTCAATTGATTTTGATCAAGTCGGTGTTCCATTGTGCGTCTCTTGTTCGCCATGCGAGGACATACCAGAGAAGCGTAGAACATTTCTAAGCTGTGCACCAAAAATATTCGTTACGTAAACATTTTGAACGCCATTTTTCTTTCATTATATAACAAAAAAATTGTTCATTTGGTCGGTTAAGCTTTGTAAGACTGTTGTAGGACTGACAATTTTTTTTTTCTTTTTTTTTTACAAAAGTTGTTGGCATTTGTCGGTCCTTTATCATACGAGGTTTGAAAATATTTCTGCAAGGTAATCAGAGACTCAGCTGTATCCTGAGGTACTCATGCCATGAATGACGGTAACCACCTCCACTTTATTTTATTTATTTATAGACATAATATACGTTTATAGATTCTCAATGCATACTACTAGTATATAACATATATCATGGAAGGTTTTCTTAAGGCCTATTCTTATGTATAGCAGCGAAACATCGGCGGCAACCAAAAGGAATGTGCATACCATTCAACTTGCTGAAATGAAGATGCTGAGGTGGATGTGCGGCGTGACTAGGCTCGATAAAATCCGCCACGAGTACGTGCGTGGAAGCCTCAGTGTACAGGACATCACCGACAAGATGCAGGAGAGTAGGCTGAGATGGTATGGTCACGTGAAAAGGAAGCCACCTTATTACGTCGGATATTTGGCATTACTGCTCGACCTCCCTGATCGGAGACCTAGAGGTAGACCCAAGATGAGGTGAAAGACAAGACCCAAGACAAGACAAGGTGTAGTGCTGAAGGACAAAAGGGAATGCAATGTTGCCGACGAGGATGTCGAAGACAGAGTGAAGTGGCGAACTAAAGTGAGGAAAGCTGACCCCACCACCATGTGGGATAGTAGCTGGGAAGAGAGAGATGGAAGGTTTTCTGGTATAGTATCATTAAAGTCTATATAGTGCGCGAATTGCCTTAATAAATCGGTTGAGTGCAAATATTTATAGAGTCTAAAGAAATGTAAAACGCTGGAAATAGCATAAATTGATAGAATCACAATGACTTTTATACTTTAATCATCAACCTTACTTTAGAATAGTATTGTGTCTTTTTTGCCACGTACCATCCGGCTATGGAATGAGCTCCCCTCCACGGTGTTTCCCGAGCGCTATGACATATCCTTCTTCAAACGAGGCTTGTGGAGAGTATTAAGCGGTAGGCAGCGGCTTGGCTCTGCCCTTGGCATTGCTGAAGTCCATGGGCGACGGTAACCACTCAACATCAGGTGGGCCGTATGCTCGTCTGCCTACAATGGCAATAAAAAAAAAATGCTTACGGTACTACTCACCCACTAAGCTTGGTCACATTAAAAGAAGACAGTTTTACGTGCAAATGCGGGCATATGACCACTGTAGGAAACGGCACGGCCCAGATCGGAGTCGGTACAGAATCAATAACGTTTACGAATGGAGTCGAAGTCCATTTGCAGAACAATTTGATTATGTTCACGGCGCATATTGCGATACTGATCACCATTATTATGATCCAGGTAGCCTTCTCCTTTCTTCCGAACGAAGGCTCGAAGATGTACCTATGAAAATAAATAAATAAATAAATATTTACTAACAGTCACGCCACATTAACTGGTCCCGTGATAAGTTCGTAAAGAACTTGTGTTACAGGTACGAGATAACGGAAATAAATATAAGATTTTTATTATACACATACAGATATTTAATATACATCCATAACCCTGGAAAATACATTTATATTTATCATACAAATATTTTCCCTTGGCGGGATTCGAACCCGCGACCCCCTTGTGTAGTGACCACTTACCACTACACCAGACGGCCGTTTAAATATCTTCGGTATAGAAAGATATATCTGAAGATTGTGCATTGCGCAAATAGCGCAGGTTTTTATTTACCACAATGTGATTTATTGTCTTATTCATCTGTCTTTTAAATTAACTTATTGCTTTAAGAACTTTTAATATTAATTTGTGTGATCGTTGACAAAAAAAGCCGCAAGTACATAACACTAATTCATGAATTGTGGGCCAGGGGATTTATAAAAAATAGCATTTTTTTCTAAATTCACATTGATTATTGACTATAAGAAATTTTCAAAAATATAATTATAATATATTGTATATAAATACTAGTCGTACTCGCCCGCTTCGCTGGACATTTAAAATTAAAATTATTATTTATTGTCATTATTATTAGGGAGTCCAACACTCATAAAAATATTAGCCTATCCATTAAGTACATGTATTTTCTACATGGATACCAAGTTTCAAGTCAATCGAATGCACGGTTCAGTAGTTATAACGGAACATCCGCACAAACCACTGTAGATTTATATATTAGTTTAAATGAACTTATTGCTTTAATAACTTTTGATATTTACTATTTAATGATATATATAAATTCACAGATACAAAATATACGGCTGTTATGTAATGCAATGAAGACTTCGACCCATGTCTCAAGGTATGTACCAAGGTCGTGGTACTTTAAGTATTTAAAGATTGAAACTAACTTGACTCCGTGCAGCGATCCCTCATAGAAGAACTGCTTAACACCTCTAAAGATCTCACTGAACCATTTCTGAAGAAACGATTTATCCGCTGAATTCGCAGTGTTGATTAATATCTCGTCGATTTTCCTTCGTTTGTTCACAGCTTCCGGACTTATATACTTGTAATCTTTCATGTAAAATTCACCGAAGTACAAAGGGTTCGAAATATCTTTCTTCGATGTAACTTGAACATTGTTTGTTGACATTTTGGGCTTATTAATATTTTTAATCCGTACAATTAGGATTCTTTATGTATTGTTATCCCTTGTCTTTACACTATTAAAGTTCATAGTTCACTATGAAGTCGACCATAGTGTAGATGAAGCGTTGAGTTTTTATTGCAAGTTCAGGACAATTAGCCGCAGCACTCTGCAGGATTGTTAATAAATTCCTAAGTATGTTAATACAAATAGGGCACGTACGTAAAACATACTTTATTTATTTATTTTATTAGGCTCACAATACACATCACAAGCTAACGATACATAGAAAACACAAATAAAAAGAAACAAAATCTGGCTTGCAACATAAGTTATGTGCGCACGACAAAATAAGAAGTATAGTGCTGAATTTGTATAACAACGTTCCTTACAATTATGACAAAATAACACAATAACGAAAACTAATCTAACGAATAATGTAAGGAAAAAACAATATTCACAATATAATACATTAAACAATTACATTAACTTACCTATTACTAAAGTGGAGGATGCCCTTGAACATTTTTCTAAAAAAATAATATACAAATTCATTTTATAAAGACGTAAAACTAATATGAAATTTATATGCGCATTAAAACAGAGTTGGAACGAAAAGAAGTAAAATGAATATCAAATGTAAAAATGAATGAAAAAAGTCTTGATGAATAAACATTATACGGATGAATCCAGGAGTGTAGAGCAGTCAATTCAAGCCTAATAAACGACACATTAAGTGCAGTTTATTTTAGTAGACAATTATGTGGATGCACTTAGCAGTATTAGTAGTGTGGCGTTCGATTCATTACTATTGTTTTTTTTTATTTTTTTTATTGCTTAGATGGGTGCGCGACTCCGAATACGGAAAATTGACGCAAAAACCTAATCTGGAAACCTGGAATATATTTATTTTGATATGAAACTCATCTCAACTTCATATTCACAAAACTATTTGACAATTCTAACTTTTACGATTGGAAAAGCAAACTGTATCGAAGCTAGCAGATTGAAAAGTTAGGCCACTATATTTTTCAATTCGCGGTAATATACACATATCTACGAAGGTGACTTTTTATTTATTTATACTTTCTAAGGTAAGGTTTGTTTGAAATCTCAATTATACTCGTCAAACCCAACCCTCTTTACTGACCGATCTTTGATTTGATGCTAATACGAGCGCTACCAAGCTTCTCAGAATCACCCCTTACCCACTGGGTCAATCTGCAGATTTCCTGATTCATAGAAATGGTCCAGCCGTTTCGGAGTATATTGGGAACAAGCACACATAAACTTTTATACAATATAGTTGACCTGGCAAACTTCGTACTGCCTCAATCGATATATAAAAGACACATCAAGGGGACACATCAAAGGAAAAACAAAATTGTTTGTTTTAATATAATTCCGAGGTTTTTTATATTTTCTCATCTTTTAAACCTTCCCTGGACTTCCACAAATAATTCAAGACCAAAATTAGCGAAATCGGTTCAGCCGTTCTCGAGTTTTAGCGAGATTAACGAGCAGCAATTCATTTATATATATATAGATTATATGACCATGAGCTATTAACTTGGTAATATAATATTATTAATCAATACACAATTACATTATTGTATCTGTTTTCTATAAAATTTTAAATATATGTATACGGTAAGAACACATCAGTTTGTGAATCTAATAAATTTTTGTGAATACTTAAACCGCTCATATTGGTATCGCTCAAATTCCTTCTATACTAATTCATTCCAGACTATATAGTTATGTTTAATTTCTGAATATCCAGTCGACTATTTTAAATACTTTACAGCGATTTCGGAAATAAAATGTACCTACACTTTGTCTTATAACATAGCGACTTTGAAAATCAATATCAATTGCTTTTGTTATAAACGGGATTGATTCTGCTCGAATGCTTAAATTTAAATCAAGTTATCAGTTTCTTAAATCGAATTCGACGGAAGAAATAAAAATCGAATGTCCGTCAAGAGTTTTCGTTTTTAATTAACCTGTCTCATCTAAAGAGTTTTAATCTTCAAAGCCAAACGAATTCAATTTGGATCATTGGACGATGTTTCGTAACGACTACAAATTAAGCTTTGTAAAGTTTGTAAATTATTAAGACTGGAAGACACTTTATTTCATTTTTGTTAAACTTAAAAAGTATAGGGGTAAATAATTTATTCGGGCAAATGAGCAGATGAAGGCTACGCGATACGTAAAATTAAGCGCACTATCCGCTTTGAGAAACTAAGTAACAATTAAAGAAACATCAAAGAATTTAACGTATCTAACTTAGAATTATCTCCTGCTGGAAACGCTATTTTTACATATTTATATTTTACATTTAATTTTTTTTAGTATATTTAGTATATATATATATTATATGCATGGACCCCTCTCAGGTAAAGGCCTCCTCCAAAGATTTCTATTTTGTTTTGTTTCTGGCGACATATTTAATTAAATCTAGTGTAGTCCAGCAACTTTTCTAATATCATCCTCCCAACGCGTGTACGGTCTACCCACGCCGCGACGCGCCGCTTGCCCTGTGGACCGTCCCATGCAGCTACTTTAGATGTCCATCTCCCATCCCCGAGTCGTGCTACGTGGCCAGCCCACTTAAATTTCAATCTTTGTGCATATTTGAGAGCGTCCACTGTTTTGGTTATGCTTCTTATCTTTGTATGACGGAAACGCACATACGAGATAGAAACTGCACGTGTAAAATATTATTAACATATTATTATTGGACTCGGGCTGGAAATAATGCGTTATGTGATTTCAAACAAATTGATAGTGAAAAGGGGGCTTAATGAATTGGTCGTGTTGTAACTATCTGTTAACGAAATTTTATAAATCACGTGGAAGTCGTCACAAGTTGCTTCAGAAAGAAAAACTGATAACAAAATGTCCAATAGCTAACAACATAACTGTAGATGTTGTTTGTTATCAGTTTTTCTTTTTTTTAATTGATTTATACGTAATTTAATTGGCAACGACATCGGCACCTTCAGAATTATGCAATTCAAATTCGATTGGCCCAAATTGGCCTCATGAACAAAAACCCGAGATGATTCTTGACTTTTTATTTGTGTTTCAGTATTTTTCTAATTACTTACAAATCTTTCTCTATAACTCTTTCTCTTCTTTCTTTCTAATTCTTTTAATTAATTACTGTTCTGTTAATACGGTATGGGTAAGTGGCAATCTAAATTTACCTATCTGCTATGATATGTAGACACATAATTGACTGCAGGGCCAATGTCCTGAAGCCTAACAAAGGTCGGGATCGAATATCGCAAGTAAAGGATTGTGTTAAATAACAAACAGTATCTAGGTATTTTGACCTATCTACTGGTATGTTCTTTAGAAATATCACTTTGAAAACAAAACTTGCAATCAAATCAGGTACCAAGTATCGTACATAAAGAACAAGTTAGCTGGTTATAGTAATTACGAAAATTCTAATTTTGCGAGTTCGATTTTTATTACACGATCTTATTCTTTCACCGTGGAAGTCAATCGTGAAAGTTTGTTAAGTACGTATTTCATTAGAAAAAATTGGTACCTTGCCTACGGGATTCGAATATCATCGTATCGTTTGATACGAATTCACTGGACGTCTTATCCTTTAGGCCACGACTTCACAAAACCTTAGGAACCCCGAACCAGAAAGATAGCGAATGTCTTAAGGTTGGTCGATAGTTTTGATTCGAAAATATTTTGATTAAATCAAGACTGTGAACGTGTTTTTCTTTACGGGTTCGAATCCCGCCAAGGGAGGATATTTGTATGATAAAATAAATATAAAATGTCTTTTCCAGGGTTATGGATGTATATGGAATATATGTATGTGTATAATAAAAATCTTACATTTATTTCCGTTATCTGGTACGTGTAACACAAGTTCTTTACGAACTTAGCACAGGACCAGTTAACGTGGCGTGTATTGTTAGTAAATATTTATTTATATTTATTTATTTATATTATTCTAGTGAAATATAACTATAAAGGTGTAATAATTTTACGAGTATACCAGTATATCGGCTGTCTATCGTTTTGTTTACGGGATTGAGTCGGTGTGTAAGTGACTTGAATACAAAATTCACTTATATTCCCGGAATAAAGTATTGGCTAAACGTGAGACAACATTGGTGCCGGTTTCGGTGAAAATGGATGATGATGTATCATAGCTTTCAAGTCTTCAGCACTCGGGTAAACTTTTAATCTATCACAGCCCACCTGGTGTTAAGTGATTACTGGACTCCATAGACATCTAAAATGTAAATTACGCCAACCACCTTGAGATATGAGTTCTAAAGTCTTAGTATAGTTTCAACGGCTGCTCCACCCTTCAAACTGAAACGCATTACTGCTTCACGGCAGAGATAGGCACGGTGGTGGTACCTACCCATACGAACTCACAAGAGGTAAAGTACCACCAGTAAAGATTCTATAATTGGTATCATTGAAGGTTGCCGACTGATTCCAACCTCACAGCCCGTGATCTTAAGTCGTTATTGAAGACCTTAAACAGCTTTTTGGTGGTACGACATCTTTACTGGTGGTAAGAACGTCACGCGATACGACTATACATAGGCGGCACTGAAAATTTCGGGAATTAACGAAGTGACACAACATTACTATTTAAAAATGTATTTATTGCTTTTCGAAGTATTCTCCGCGAAATTTGACACATTTTTCCATACGTTGGAACCAATCATTCAAGCAACCATTCCATTCGGAAGTTGAGGTCTCCAAAATGGCCGTTTTGTAGGCGTCCACAGCTTCTTCAGGTGATGAAAATCTCTGTCCACGCAGTTTATTCTATATTTTAGGGAAAGTATAGAAATAATTATGGTTTAGGTCGGGGCTGTACGGCGGATGGTTTAATAATTCTATGTTTTCTTGCTCTAAAAACTCTTTTGTTCTGTGCGCGGTGTGAGAACTCGCATTGTCGTGATGGAGGATGATGCGGCGGTTGCAGTTCTCTTTACGGAGTTCAGAAACGACCTGTGGCAAACAAATGCTAGCATACCATTCTGCATTAACCGTTCTTTGTCCCTCAAGAGGAATAGTCGTAACATGGCCGGTTTTGGAGACAAACGTGGCCACCATTTTTTTTGCAACACTCCGTGAACGAACAATTTTTGTTGGCTTTAACTCATTTTCGAACACCCAAACTCGTGACTGGTTTTTTGTTTCGGGTTCGTACGCGTATATCCAGGATTCGTCACCTGATGATACAATGTTGTATACAGCATTTGAGGATCCTGCGTGGAATCTTTCGAGAGTTCTGACGCACCAAGTAACGCGAGCCGCTTTTTGCTTTTCAGAGAGCAAATGCGGTATCCATCGAGAAAATAACTTTTTACACCTAATTGTTCATGCAAGATTATAAGTATTTGACTCATGCCAATGTCTAAAGTTGCCTGAATTTCGCGGTATGTCACATGTCGATCTTCCTCAATCAGCTTACGCACAGCATCAACGTTTTCTTGGGTGACTGTAGTTTTTGGACGACCTTGACGGGGATCATCACTGAGCTTGACACGTCCACGTTGAAACTCAGCAAAGCAGCGATAAATTGTGGTTTTGGATGGGGCTTCATCACCAAATGCAGAAATCATCCGGTCAACACACTGTTTTTGTGTTAAACCACTTCGAAAGTCATAATAAATCATCGCTCTTGAATTTTCTCGAGTCAATTCCATTTTCTCAACGACTAAACAAGTTTGACAAAACTTCGTGACAAGACCGAGAATCTTTTTTTAAATAAATAAATGGTATTCGATTTTTAAAACCAAGGAGTTTTCAATTAAAAAGATTTTAATATGACAGGAACAGTGGAAATATTCCATTCCCGATACTTTTAGTGCAGCCCTCGTACAATATCATTCCCGTTAACACGATATTAATTAGTGTTTCTTGTATTTATTTTTCTATCAACTAAAATAATGATGTAAATTAATATAAAAAATATATATATTTATTGTGCTCTACATATTAATTTTATGTAAACGATGAGTTTAATAATCATCGTTCGAAATACGTTCTTAACGCAACGAAATAAGATCTTATTTATCATGTTCATAGTCTTATCACAAGATATTGTTTGTACTTTAAATATGTGGAATGCTGAGGTTTCAAGGGTCAGTTCTGGCCACATACGTTCATTCACATTTATCAAAATCGGCCATTATTGTTTATACTAGACATCAATAGTTTGATCCTTTTCTTTGACTAACAGTCATTCACTGTCCTTGGAGATTTACCCATAACAGAATACCTAAATGATGTTTAAAGTAAATAATGGCAAGTATGACTAGACTAGACTAGAAAAATAGTACGGTAAATTATTTAATAAGTAAGTAAGTAAGTAAGTAATGAGATGAAAAGAACAAATGTCATATTAAAGTTCACTATTTTTGTACAAGGGACTTTTTAACATTTTGTATACAGTTTTTTTTTTATTGCCCTTGTAGGCAGACGAGCATACGGCCCACCTGATGGTGAGTGGTTACCGTCGCCCATGGACTTCAGCAATGCCAGGGGCAGAGCCAAGCCGCTGCCTACCGCTAAACAGTGTCCTTAGTGCGAGTTTTTTAACGTCCTCGATAGCGTAAAAGTTTCGGAGTTGGAACGTTTGCATACGTTTGCCGCTCCGGATTCTGTCCCAACTGCATACAAATTTGAGTTAGCTTTTACGCTATCTTCACCCCTGCCCTGAGTAGTACGGAGCTTCTGCCCGGGCAGTGTGGTTTACCCCGAGGTCCGTTCCGTGCCCCCTTAAGGGGCCACGATGACCCTGTTCGTTCGTTTACGCTATCGAGAACGTTAAAAAACTTGCACTACGCACACAGTTTATAGTAAACTAGCGACCCGCCCTCACTTTGCTTCGGAAACTGTAGTTTATTATTCATTTCCCCACTATTTAATGGATGTTATTATACATATAAACCTTCCTCTTCAATCACTCTATCTATTAAAAAAACCGCATCAAAATCCGTTGCGTAGTTTTAAAGATTTAAGCATACATAGGGACAGAGAAAGCGACTTTGTTTTATGCTATGTAGTGATAAGTGAATAAAAGTTTAGTGTAAAAGTTAACAACATCAGCTATGAACATATCAATTAAATAATGCTTGATCCAATTCTCATTGTATCTTCAGTCGTTCAAAATGCTCAAGATTGTTCAGTCACACTATACAGTACTTAATAGTTCTTAGTCGTAACTAATGCCACAGCGCTAGTAATTCAGAGAAGCACCAGTAAAATTTATTAGTTAGATATTTCTTTTTTTTTATTGCTTAGGTGGATGCACGGGCTCACAGCTCACCTGGTGTTAAGTGGTTACTGGAGCCCATAGACATCTACAACGTAAATGCGCCACCCACCTCGAGATATAAGTTCTAAGGTCTCAGTATAGTTACAACGGCTACCCCACCATTCGAACTGAAACGCATTACTGCTTCACGGCGGAAATAGGCGGGGTGGTGGTACCTACCCGTGCGGACTCCCAAGAGGTCCTACCACCAGTGATTACGCAAATTATAATTTTGCGGGTTTGATTTTTATTACACGATGTTAATCCTTCACCGTGGAAGTCAATCGTGAACATTTGTTGAGTACGTATTTCATTAGAAAAATTGGTACCCGCATGCGGGATCCGAACACCGGTGCATCGCTACAGACGAATGCACCTGACGTCTTATCCTTTAGGCCATGATGACTACATTTCTAATATTAATGATGCATCGATGCACGAAGACAATATTATTGTCCCAATAAAACACAATCAAGTCAACAGTTAAATGCGATTGTGTCATATCCATTACGGAAAAATACGAAACAAATACTTAGTTAGTTAAATCATGTTTAGGAAAACGATTTTCATCGTTTAAGAAATTTTAACTTTCATCAAACTTAATTTACTGCAAATGTTTTATTAGGTCTCCTTCGGAGGCGCTCGGGCGGCTGTTAGCAAATCCCACCCCTCTTGGCTGAGCCTTTACTCGCCAACCTGTCCTGGTGAAACTGGAAAGGCCTCCGGGCCACCAGTAGTCTCTCAAACATAAAAAAAAACTTTTAACAAGAAGGATGCATTACTAATGTAACTAACTAAATTGAATGGATCTTAGCTGGTATTGAGCGCGAACACATTAAGCACTTATGAATACCAATTTACTTCAATACTCGTGTAATTGAATTTGGTATAGTAAGAGTTTCATGAAAGCCTTGAAATTAATTTCCATCTTTTTTTCCTATCTAAGCTTATAGTCTTGAGAGGCTATGTCAGCGTTACCGGACGAGTAGGTGAGCTCACGGGGCTCAAACCGGGAGTCTTGCTAACGCTGGCCTTAGCAGAATAGTGCTTCGCAGAATCTACCACCGCATCGGAAACGCGACCCATTGTGAAGATGACGCTTTTTTTTTTCAAGAAGAAAAGTGGAATATATTAGGAACCACTATTAAAAGCTATTAGTGAATTCAGTGAGTCATTGTTTTCGGGATTATAATTGAGCTATCTCTATCTAACCGTATTGTGTCTAAGTACCGCTGACAGAAACAAAGCAGTAAATAGCATCATTTATGTATGTGTATGTGTACATGTATATTTTACTTCAGTTGTACTCGACTACGGATGATATGCACTAGTTGATTTTGTTAAAATTAATTTGTATTAAATACACTATTCATTAAATTGATTCTTGATTAATTAAAAACGACAAATAAATTTTATTAACTCATTTGAGATTGAGGTTGGTTTTGTGCACGTGCTTGAAGTGTGCGCGTTGGTAATTTAGAACAGTTGTATTATTGTGAGCGACAAAGAAAAATCGTTGTGACTATTTTAATGGAATAGGAAGTTTTTTGGACTTATCTTTTTTCGGATTACAATCGTCATTATTAATTGTCTCAAGTGACTTTTTTACATTCATTCATTTAGCTATTTTTATTTAAGTTATACATTTAGTTTACAATATAGACATGTATGGAAATATTTAAAACATTTTATAGCTTATTCTATGTATATGTTTGTAATCGCCACTGTTTGAAATTAATTGAAATATTTATGGTAACAAATTTAAAAGGGTTTTCAAAAAAAATCTATTAAATTATCTATAGTTCGACACGGCTCTAGCAAATATTATTATTGTCCGTGTACTTTATCGGACAAAGAAAGGACGTTGTGTTTCATAATATAATAAAAAGCATCCGTTCATCCCTAAAATAGGGCAACTTACAATATTTAACATCAAAAGCTTAACGCGTTTCTATTTCTCCTCGCGGTTCTGCTACGTAACATCCTGATATTTAACCTGAGATAACATTCAAAACGATTGTAGAAATAATTGAAATTGATTGATTTTACTTTTTATTTCCAGTTAAGATGTTTCAAAAAAGCCGTTTAAGCTTCGCGTTTCTGACGCTAATATCGCTTTTTCACAAATGTAAGTAGAACGCTTATTAATTTAATATAATAAAAATTTATAGGTTATCTTTTAGGTTAGAATACGGGTCATGATGATTCTGCAGTTAAACACGCTATTTCAATCGACAATTAATTGTTTACGTATATTATCAGAAGTTTAAGTTCTATTAAAAAGCAAACGAAGAACAATGTTATTTTGTGAAACTGTAGTTTTAGGCAGATTTAGTTAAGCGTTTACCGGAGCCGATAGATATCAATAACGTAAATGCCACCACAAAACTTGAGACATGAGTTCAAACCGAAACGCATTACTTCGCTCACGCTTCACAGCAAAATGTCCACTGAGTTTCTCGCCGGATCTTCTTAGTGGTTTTTTTTTATTGCCCTTGTAGGCAGACGAGCATACGGCCCACCGGTTAAGGTATGGTAACCACCGGATGGTAAGTGGTTACTGACGCCCATGGACTTCAGCAATCCCAGGGGCCGAGCCAAGCCGCTGCCTACCGTAAATCGTATCGCGTTTCGGGTTGGGTGGTAGATACAGCGAAGCACTGCTCTTGTTAGGGCCAGTGTTAGCAACACCTCCGGCTTGAGCCCCGTGAGCTCACCCACACGCTAGGGTAACGCTGGTACAGCCTCTCAAGGTAGGAAAAAACCCAAAAATATAGACGGAGTGGTGGTACCTATCCGTGAGAGCTCACAAGACTCTCTACCCTTCTGGCAATATATGATTATTTGTTTTTGGTTACTAAATATTCAGTAAAGCTGCAATGTAATTTGAATATAGTTTGCGCTTTCCCTCGAAACCCTACATCCTCAACATTGGTTAATGGTTAATTCAATTTGTGTTAAATTGCGTGCAATGCAAAATGTTTGCCGATAATTTGTCTACCATTTTGTGTGCATTGTAAGGAATCAAGCTGTGTGGTTGTAACAAATGTTATATGTTAATTTTTAAATTTTTGTTTCCCAAAGCAGTGATATTATTACTTTTTTAACATACAAGCTCCCTCCCACCCTCCCCACCCTCCTATTCTTTTTTTATTTATTTTTTATTGCTTAGATGGGTGGACGAGCTCACAGCCCACCCGATATTCAGTAGTTACTGGAGCCCATAGACATCTACAACGTAAATGTGCCACCCATCTTGAGATATAAGTTCTAAGATCTCCGTATAGTTACAACGGCTGCCCCACCCTTCAAACCGAAACGCATTACTGCTTTACGGCAGAAATAGGCAGGGTGGTACCTACCCGTGCGGACTCACAAGAGGTCCTACCACCAGTACTCACAAGAGGTGATACCACCAGTACTCATAAGAGGTCCTACCACCAGTAATATTATCAACTGCAATCAACTCTAATAATCATAATCTCTAATTCAGAGCTACTTAATGACATATATTTTCTTAATAATTACAGCCACTGCAATAAAATGCTTCAACTGTAATAGCGCCAATAACTCAGCTTGTCTGGACGTTAACGATATCGATCCTGAAATGCGAGGAATCATTATACCGGTGGTCCACTGCGAAACAGCGATACCTAATCCGGTTGCTCAAAACTTCTTCTGCAGGAAGATCGTCCAAACTAGTAAGTCGTTTTCTTTAAAAAATTTTTTGGAATGAAGTTTCTTGCGGGTAGGCTTGGAGGAGATAGGGATTTTGCTGCGCGACCGAACCGAAAAAAATGTGTTAGTAAAAACCGTAAGAAAAAGTCCGTGGAATAAGGCCTTGTTTTCCGCACAGCGATATTTCACAGCGCGATTTTTTTCTCGTAATTTTTTTTATTTTTTTTATTTGGACCTTCGTTCCTATCCGGTGTCCCACGACACCACACATCTTTTTTGTTTAAAAGACGTAGTATTAGTTCTTTCAACTGCAACATGCCAACACCTATCGTCCCTAAAGCGTAAAACATGTCCGGCAAACCTACACTTTTTATTTCCACAGCCGGGTGAACGAACTCACGCCCCCCCTCAGTTTGTGACCGGAGACCACATTGATTCAAAATATTTATATTAATTACTAGCTGACCCGGCAGACTTCGCAGTGCTTCAATCGATAAATAAAAGACCTTAACTTTTGTATAAAATAAACTTAAAACAAACAAAAGGAATCCGTCCGACGGGGGACCCATCAAAGGAAAAACAAAATTGATGTTTTTATTTAATTCCGAGCATTTTCATATTTATCTACCTTTTAAACCATCTCTAGACTTCCACAGACCAAAATTAGCCAAATCGGTTCAGCCGTTCTCGAGTTTTAGCGAGACTAACGAGCAGCAATTCATTTTTATATACATAGAAGAAGATTAGCTTGGTGACTTGTGAACGACCCTGTGACTTGGCGCTTCCCTTAGCCTTACTGAAATCTGTGAGCAACCATGACTACTCACCATCAGGTGGGCCGTATGCTCGGCTACCTGCAAGGGCAATAAACTAAATCACTTTTAGTACCCCAGAGGCTTGAGGATACAACGGAGGTGCCTTGAAAATGATGCGTTCACTCTGACCGAAATTCGCGTTGTTTTTGATGAATGTGGCTTAGTTTAAGTGAACTCCGAACAGCGTGCCTACCGAGAGGGTCGATGACTATGTTAAAAAGGCTCTTATACGGGTATAAGAGCCTTTTTTATTTTATTGCTTACGGATTACTTATGGATGGACAAGCTAACGGCATACCTGTTGTAAAATGGTTACCGGAATCCTCAGACATCGACAACGAAAATGCTGTTACCCACCTTGAGACATGATTTTTAAGTCTCATTTTTATAGTACAACTGTTGCCCCACCCTGCAAGCCGAAATGCAGTACTGCTTCGCGGCAGAAATAGGCAAGGCAGTGGCACGTACCCTTGCCGACTCTCAAGGCGCCCTACCACCAATATTAACAGTTACAAGAGTACCGTGTTGTAAGGGGGATAGCTATAATTCACTGGTGGTAGGACCTCTTGTGAGTCCGCGCGGGTGGGTACCACCGCCCTGCCTATTTCTGCCGTGAAGCAGTAATGCGTTTCGGTTTGAAGGGTGGGGCAGCTGTTGTAACTATACTGAAACCTTAGAACTTATATCTCAAGGTGGGTGGCGCATTACGTTGTGGATGTCTATGGGCTCCAGTAACCACTTAACACCAGGTGGGCTGTGAGCTCGTCCACCCATCTAAGCAATAAAAAAAAAAACTTTTAAAACAAAGCTACGTATTTGATTTCCAGTTTACCATCCTCATCACGACTCCGAGATCCGCGTGACGAGGAACTGCGCCTGGGTCCCCGGTGATAAGGAATGCTACACCGTTTACAACAGCGACCATGCGGAGATAGTGTGTCAGTGCTTCGCGGACTACTGCAACAGTGCAGACAGTACCGATCCCACGTCCGGGACGATACTGTTCCTGGCTTTAGCAGCTTGCCTATATTTCTATCGTTAGAAACGTACAATGAATTCAGTAGGTTCAGACGTTTGAAATGAATGTTTATAAATGTAATTTGAAGATGGTTGTTTTTTTTATTTTTTTATTTCTAACTAGCTGAACCGGCAGACTTCGTAGTGCCTCAATCGATGAATAAAAGACCTAAACTTTTGTATAAAAAAAACTTAAAACAAACAAAAGGAATCGGTCCGACGGAGGACACATGAAAGGAAAAACCAAATTGTTATTTTTATTTAATTCCGAGCAATTTCATATTTATCTACCTTTTAAACCTTCTCTGGACTTCCACAAATAATTCAAGACCAAAATTACCCAAATCAGTCCAGCCGTTCTCGAGTTTTGAACAGCAATTCATTTTTATATATGATTTATTCATTAAAAAGTTTGATAAGTAATTTGCAGAGAATATACTTAAATCGAGGGCTGAAAAGCTATGTGGTTTAAGGGATATTTCACTTAATACGCGGCATTTATCTTTCTTTGTAATTAAAGCTGCGTTTTATTTCGTATTAACATCAACAATTCAATATATTTTTAATTGAACTTCAATAAATTGAAGAAGATTTTTTGATATTTGATATTTTTTCCAAATTTCATTCTTTAAATGACCCTCCCGTAAAGTTGTACAAATATCGCTTCAATAAAATACCCTTTCACCTCTTGATATGTGCATATTATATCTGTACACACCTACCTGCAAATAGCACGTTTTTACGACAAAAAATAATAATAATAATAATAATAAATTTTATTTCAGAATTAAATTCCATATGAAGTGTTAGTAATACAAAATCTTAAAAAGCAGTACATTTTATTTATTTTACATTGACCATGGCTGGTCTCGAGCCAACATGGACTTCATTCCAGTGCCTCAGTATAGATAGGGCAGCAATAGCGACTCCCTATTGCGGCGTCTAAAGTTTACGTATTTTACAGTTTACTAAAATTACCATAATTTTACTGAGAAGACAAATTAATTATATTTATTTAGGGTTACGTGAGATGTGTGTGTAGGTACTATGTATTTTTTACTCTATGATTTATTTATTATCTTTGTGAGTCACACGCGTGCAACAGCCATTGCAATATCAATAAAATTTCCCTCTCATTCACAACATAGGTGGGCTGCATTCGGGTATCCTTGTGCCTTAGCTTATTTTGAAGATTTCGTTTTAGCCGGTAGTGTTTATTATATTGTATACTAACGACACGCCCACGCTTTGCTTCGGGAACTGTTATTTGTTATTGATCTTTTTTTTATAAAGGAATTTGGCTCTAACGCCTTTGGCATTCATTTTGCCAATGTCCCAGTATGCATAAAAATTACAAAAAAATTACTAAATACAAATAAATTTAATCAGTTTTTCCATACGATTATTGATCTTATTAAATTTTATATCTTCATCTTTCATGATATCGTGCACTCGGTTGTTTATAGTCATAATTGTTCAAATATAATATATATAAATATTGTATACTATTAGGCTCGTTTTGATATATATACCGTTTTAATTTTGGTCGCATCCCCGTTTTCGCCAACCCTATTTTTTCGGACGCAGTGAAGCGCATTATAATTTTACAAAGTAATGTGCAAATACAGTGTCGTGTTAGGGCTACCTCTGTGCAGCTTTGTTGCTCACACAACACGACGTTATAACAAAAACATTCGGTTTTCAGGCACGTCCCGTTCGCAGTTGTTATATTCCACGGGCTTTCTCTATTTGTATACGGTCAGTCATTACACGCGCTTCATCACGTACTGTTCAGGGTCAAGGTCACAGGAAATATTATTGAAATATAAACAACTCAATATTTATGTAATTCGTTTTTTATAAAAATATCTGCCTGATTGCTCGTGGTGTCGTGTTGGGCCATGAAATTCCCTAGAATAGCGATTCATTGTACTAGCTGTGCAAACATCCTCACAGCCCCCTGCTGCTGCCTGGTCACCAGAACCCTTAGACATAGAGCTTACACTGGTGGTAAGACCTCTATGAGTCCGCGCGGGATGGTACCACCACCCTGCCTATTTCTGCCGTGAAGCAGTAATGCGTTTCGGTTTAAAGGGTGGGGCAGCCGTTGAAACTATACTTGAGACTTTAGAACATATATCTCAAGGTGGGTGGCGCATTTACGTTTTAGATGTCTATGGGCTCCAGTAACCACTTAACACCAGGTGGGCTGTGAGCTCGTTTACCCGTCTAACAATATAAAAAAAACTCAGTGTACGATGTCAAAGATTTTATTCCTTCGTGATTGTAGCACTCGTTTTCCGGTCAAAATATCGCCTTCCTGCTAACATTTCTTAGTAGCAACATTCCGCAGGCAGTAGGTAGTTGATTGGGGGAGGTGAAGGACCTCGGCCCTTCTCTTCTCCCCTTCTTCCTCTCAGGAGGCGCCGGAGTCCGCATAACCCGGTCCGTTACCCTCGACCGGATATACGTAAATGGATTCCCCAGCGTTGATTTTAATAAAACTATAAATATTTACATATTTTTTTGTTTAATTATACGATTTCACTGTTGCGTTGACATTGATCTTCTAACTGCCCGATACTGGCCAAATTGTGTTTCCAAGATGAATCAAAAGTCAACATTTAAAACCCAAAGACAGAATTTATTCTCCTCTATCTCGAGCAATGAAATCGATGCTTCAATTGTATATATCAAGCTTTATTAATATTAGTTTCTTTGTATACAGAAGTAATACAGTTGACGCAAAAATAAGACCCCAAATTTCATGTTAGCCTTCTTGGATAGTTCAGCTATATTTTAAGAGTATTGATAAGAGTAAAAAGAAAAAATGTCTTGTCATATATAATAATGATACCAATCCCTTTAATTATTTATTTATTTATTGCTTAGATCGATGGACGAGCTCACGACCCACCTGGTATTAAGTGGTTACTGGAGCCCATAGACATCTACAACGTAAATGCCGCCACCCATCTTGAGATATGAGTTCTAAGATCTCAGTATAGTTACAACGGCTGCCTCACCCTTCAAACCGAAACGCATTACTGCTTCACGGCAGAAATAGGCAGGGTGGTGGTACCTACCCGTGCGGACTCACAACAGGTTCTACCACCAGTAAAAAAGTGTTAGTAGAAGTGCCAAGAATAGAAATACTAGTATAGTAGTAATACTAGCCAGTATTAGAAATACTAGTATTAGTAATACTAGTATTAATAAGAATACTAGTACTAGTGTCAAACGAAAATGCTTCTTCAGTAGTGAAATTTATGTGGACACAAGATGTCATCTGGAAAGTAGGTATCCGCATTTTTAATTTGCCGTCCAGCGCTCGAGGCGGGATAATCCCTCGACATCTCGTTACTTCAAACAATAAAATATTTATGTAATGAGAGACATTAAAACTTGTTTAAACGGGATTGCTGTTTGCGGAGCTTTCGTGTTCCATTTTCTAGTTGTCGTTTAATTAAACATAATGTAATGTTTTAAATATAATTCAAAAGAAGGTAGGACATGTAATAACGCTCTGGAAGGGCCGTGAGGGGAAGATCAATTCAAACCCGGATAATGTGTAAGAAAAAAATCTTTAGGAACGTGATATCGACTGAATGACTCTCTCTGGAAATAGCTGTAGTATGATATTTGGGAGTCCCGTCCCGAGATGGGAGCCGAACCTATTCTTTATAAACCAACTGTCTTTGTCCAGGCTGAAAGGTTTCGCTCTGTAAGGACTCCCAATATTAAACATACCACATTTGACCTTTACCCTCCAAATGAGTCGGGTACTGAACGCCATTCAAAATGTCAAATCCAAGAATTCCAGTACCCTTGGGAGGTTATTGGACTACTCCTTGGAATTACTCCATTATATTACATGGTTTCATGGTTCCAGAAGAAAGGCTTCCGTAAATGTCATGTGGTACACATATTCAAATGTCATTAACAACTGGTGGTAGGGCGTCTTATGAGCCATATCCACCGCTGGTAGCCCCACAGCCTCGTGTACGCAGTAATGCATTTCTATTTAATGGGTAAGTTAGCCGTTTTACTATGAAACCGACACCTCGTATCTCAAAGTAGGATCCTGATGAGACAAAGATGTAAACATTTAAAAGTCGTTTATTTTAAAATTGAAACAGAGAAACGAGGTCTTTCTCAACAGAAGTGAAAAGAAATAAATAGATAAAAAAATATTTGGAAGAGCAAGTCTGTACTTTCGGGGGTTGATGACGATGCGACACTTCCGAAGCCACTGTCTTAAATTGGTAGCCGCAACTGGAAGTTTGTTGGGGATGCACGGTAAAACGAACGGATCTACAAAAAGTATCGTATGATGAGCACGAGACTGTCTGGCCAGTGTTTCCACAATGAGGGGCAATTCCTCATTTAAGGGGAAATTAGGGTCTATAGGGGGAGAAAAGAGGGAAGACATTAAAAGGGGAAATTGCGGGAAATCATGGGTAAAACCGAACTTAAAATATTGCGGTAAATTTTGGAACTGTTTTTTTATCGGCTCTACCATGGACTAGCGTGTTGTTTAAAAGAAACTGTGACAACACGTATAGGTGGCGTATACTTACCATTATTTCCATTCTGTTTAATAATACAATATAAAATGTATGTGCTGATTGCGTAAACTGACTTGGAATAAGAGGTGAGTATACAGCCCCATAGATTGCTGGTGAGGCTATAAATAACATACCAATCGTTTAATTAAATTTTATTCATGCTTAGTCTAATTTTTTTAGATTCGTTTGCAGTTGCATTGGACTGTACGAACTTAGCGTGTGGTATTTCTAGTTGATTTTTCATTAGTTGTACAGAAGTTGTTCCCGTTCTTTTCAAGCCAGATTTTACACTCAGGACTGATGCAACCATTTCGTAAATAATATTATCATAGTATAGTATTACCAGAGGCATGGGCAGGCTATAGAAGATAATCGATAAAGACTCTTTTTTAGTTACTACACTAGGGCCAAAAGCAAAAACTACAGCAGAAAAATTTTTGAGGGGAAAAAAGCCCTGAGAAGGAGAAATTTGAATTGAGACGTGGGGAAAGGAAATCATTAAAGTGAAAACACTGTGTCTGGCACTTCCTTGTTGAGCAGTTCTTAAGTTAAGCCATTGTCTCAGACTTTGCCGAACGCCTTCGCGATTTCGAGGAAGAGGGCTGCCGTGGGGTGCGTCCCCGTACGGACAGCCCTTGATCTGTTCTGCAAACGTTTAACAATTTCATTTTCGTAGCTTCAAACAACTACATTCTTTTCTTCTTCTTAAAACGGCTCTGTTGTGAGAAATACGAGTATATTAAGTCTGTCCTAAATCTAAACTCAGTTGATATATTTTGATGTAACTACTTAGTCTGGCCATAAATATTGTTACAAAGGAAAGCAAAACAAAATCTATTGCAAATAACATTTATTACTTTGACAGTGTGTTAGTTTAATACATAAATATAAAATAATTTAAAGTATAAAAAGCTTATTCGAAGTGGTCTCCATTGGCTGCAATACAGTCATTTAAACGTTGGGGCCAGTTATCAATAGAAGCACGCACTCTTTCCACGGGGAAAAATTTTCACTGCCAATCGTACGGATCGTTTTAGGGACTCCAAATTATCATGGCGTTTAGAGCAAGCCGTACTCTCTAAAACTGACCATAAATCATAATCCAGCGGATTAAGATCGGGACTAGACGACGGCCAGTCTTCAGCTCTGATGAAGGCTGACACGTTCGTTTCCAACCAAGACTGCGTAGACCGAGCTTTATGACCTGGCGCCGAATCTTGCTGGAAGGATCATTCTTGATTATTGAACATGGTGTTGTTAAGGGGCTTCACAACCTTCTCAAGAATGGTATCTTGATACACTTGTGCCGATGTTTTGATACCTTTTTCACAAAAGTATGGCCCAGTCACTCCTTCATAGCTAATACCCCACCAAATCATCACTGAAGTCGGATAGTGCCCACGTCGCACTCTGTCGACTAATTGGGAAGCTTCCTTAGAGCTTTGAGCATAAATACGGTCATGTTGTTTGTTAAAATGTTGCTCAATTGTAAAAAAATTCTCATCCGTAAACAAAAAAATTCTATGACCTCCCTTTGCGTACCGCTTCAGTAGTTGTTTCGATTTTACCACCCTATTCTCTTTTAAATTATCAGTTAAGAAATGACCAGTACGTCTCTTATAGGCTGCAAGTCCTATGTCATCTTTTAAAATACGCGACATGGTTCTAGGTGCTATCTTCATCTCCCGAGATAAAATCTTTTGCTTTCGGACAGGATTTCTTCGAATTCTTTCCCTTACTGCTTTGACTACCTTTTTCGTACAAACACTACGTGGACGGCCAGATCTTTTTCTGTCACAAACAGAGGAGGTCTCATTGCACCTATTAATAGCCTGGTTTTAATTGTAACAGTATTTATGGCCAGACTAAGTATACTTTTTTGGCAGTTTAGTTTTGCAGTATTTTCGTCTATTATTAATTAGCCGTAGGATGTCTGAAAAATTGTTTTATAAATCAACTTTTTGATTTACTACTTTTTTATTACTATTGACTATAACGGATAATGAGCTGTCTGTATTGTTACTAACAACATTACGGACCGTTTGGAACACGCTTAAAAATACTAGCTCTTTGTATTCTCTGTATTTTTAATAGAGTACTCTGTAGAACTATTTCATGAAGGAAATTTGAAGTATTTATTACCTTTTTCCCACAGCACCATGGTGATGCACTTCTCCTGGAAGAACTAGGTTTCATATAGATGAAACTTAGGTCTTCTATACGACTCGTCACTTTTAAGCTATTGCATAGCTTTTATTGTGGGCTTTGAGCGCGCTACCGAATCAAGAAATTCCGTAACGAAAATAAAAACCTAACACCCCCCACTCCGCTTACCATGTAGCTCGCGTTCAACACATTCACACGTTGCGCTTGTGTAGTATTTGTGAATAAGCGTGCGACGTGACGTCACACTGCAGGCGCATCATGAAAAGTCTGCCCGTCTCTCTCTCGCAGGGTCTAGCTTATGAGTGTGAAGGGGACAGTTAATGTTTTGCTTTTGTTAATGTTCATAAATATAGCGTTGTCTAATTATAATTGCATAAGTTGTTAAAAAAATGCTATATTTAAGCAATAGTTTTACCGCGGCAGTCCCCGAGTGTCATTAGTTTTGTTATTTTATTTTAAGTAACTCAATCAATTTTTTGCACAAGATTTTTTTTTAATTGACATTGTTAAGCTTTTTACTTGTAAATTGACTTTTGAATAAACTTTCGTATATTAAGGAGCGCTTATAAAAACATCAAAATACCAGACGAATTTCACTTTAATTTTCAATAATTAATTAAATTCATACGAATACAAATAATTATAGATAGCTTAATACTAATTATGTTCGTTGCCAAAATTATTTCATGGATACTATAGGATCCACCCAGCCATTGAAATAAATTCAGCAAGTTTTCGTTCGCAACAAGATGGTTGCATGTCAATTTCCATACACGACTACTCATTTTAACGATGGCACAAGACTTCTTACAACACGAAGAAGAATCGAATCGACAATTCCCAATAAAATGTTCAGTCGTGGCTGATAATTAGAAATGTCATTCAAACATTAATCTACTAAAGTCATAAATCTTATAAATGAGTCGTCTATTATCAAAGGTGGCAATCTGTGAATTTGGACAAAAATTTTTTATTGATATGTCAATACAGATTGATTTGAATATAATCGTCTCCTTCAAAGAATACGGTTCAAAATCTGCATTAAATAAAGGTTAATAGTTAACCTGTTATTTATCTAAGATGTCGTTCAGAAGAGTTTTGTGACTGCCAATGGAATACAAAGTCAATAATTCGTTTTTCTGATTTACCAATCATTGTCCAAAAGTCAGATTGCCACCTTTGATAATAGACGACTCAAATAACAAATTCGCTGTCAATGAGATGTAACTATATATCTAATGGTAATCTGTATCTTTATTCAATTACAAAAAAATACTTGATAGGATATTTTATAATCAGCTACTGGTTTTATATCCAGAAATCGATAGTAAAAGAGAAACCAATAAGTTAAACGTTGAGTTTAAAAATTATGATGGAAGATCTTCGTCTGAATATAATACCTGTATTGTGTATCAACTATTAAATTACAATTATTGAATATATGAAAATTCAAGTCTTCTTAAAGGAAATAGAAAACTCGCGACGTATATAAATATGTTATTTACTTATAGATATATGCTTGCGGTTCTGAAACCAATCCAACAGGATTAGAACAGAGATAAGTTTAGAATAAATTCAACGTAGCGTTAAGATCTCTCGGGTAAGTATTGCAGCTGTAATCTTTAATGGTACTGAATTAGAGTAATTTACTGCGCCGTTTCATTCTATCTTCGTGCGCGATTTGATCAATTGGTTCCCGCTCACTGCGACCGTCTTCGTTCTGGTTGACAACATCTATAGGAATAGAGGATTTAAAATTAGTTTCCTAGACCTTAGATCTTATATCTCAAGGTGGGTGGCGCATTTCCGTTTATGGGCTCCAGTAACCACTTAACACCAGGTGGGCTGTGAGCTCGTCCACACATCGAAGCAAAAAAAAAAAAAGTAAAAAAAAAAAGATGCTTTTAAGAATTCTGATAGTATCTCTAAAAGGATCGTATTTCTAGAATGCGATGTTATGTGTTGTTCTGAGCAACTCACTACTACGTTCCTATCATAGGTAGTGTAGTATAGTGTGAGTACCACAATCTTGCCTATTTCTGACTTAGACTCGAGTTGGTTTTTTTTTATATTGCCCTTGTAGGCAGACGAGCATACGGCCCACCTGATGGTGAGTGGTTACCGTCGCCCATGGACTTCAGCAACGCCAGGGGCAGAGCCAAGCCGCTGCCTACTAAACGCTACTAAAACTACTAACGCTGGCTAGCGGCATTTATGCAGCGATGTCTATGGTTTCTGCTGACCACGAAGTAGATAATGAATTCATTCACTATCTTAAACAATAAAATAACTACGACTAGTACTTAAGCTGTCAAATAAGGGATTAAGAATTAGGGAGACACATTATTTCGAATCCAGCCGATCCACTAACGGTGTTTTTAGATACCTCAAACACCGGTCATCGTTCTCTTTGAACCCGTAGCCTGTGACGAAGGGCCCGGCGAGCAAATTAACCCACAGACACAGCCCACTGAGTTTCTCGCCGGATCTTCTCAGTGGGTCGCGTTTCCGATCCGGTAGTAGATTCTTCGAAGCACTGCTCTTGCCGGGGATTTATTTTTTTTCAGTAGGAAATCGTCGGAATTCAGCCCTCCACTGAGATGGCGGGCGAGGCATGTCAAAATCGACCCGACTAAAAACCTCCTGTCGCTCAACGACTCACGTCCGAAATTCGCATGAGACAGAACTCATGAAAAGGCAAAAGGGGGAAAGTGAAGCGTTTAGTGCGGAGCACATCTCTCCCATCACCCTCCCCCTCGGGGCGCCGGACCGGCAGTCGTCGGCGCCACGACCTCCAGCCCTCTCGGTTCTTGCTAGGGCTAGTGTTAGCAACGCCTCCAGGTTTGAGCCCCCAGAGTGAACCTACACGTTAGGGCTACGCTGACATAGTCTCTCAAGGCTATCAGCTTGGGTAGGAAAAAGATAATAATAAAAAATTATTAGGGAGTTAGCTAGGTGTGGACTATAAAGAGTAAAGTAAAGGAGGAGTTCGAAAAGAACAGGATCTTTAGATTAATAATCGGAAACCCATAAATTATATTCGGATTCGTATCTATGGCTAGATATAAATATAAATAATATAATATTATATTAATAAAGATATAAATTTAAATATAGAGCGCCAGCTAGATGGGTGAACCAACTCAAGGAGGTGACTGGAGGCCAGATACAGGGAGCGGTACAGATGGCGCAGAACTGAACCGAGTGGAGAAGATTGACATACAGTCACGATCTTCAGCATTGAGGGAACGACCAGAAAGATCTATGGCTACATTACGGAAAAGCGATAAGTTTTTAAAGTACCTTCTTATTATTCTTACCATCGTCACCATTCTTCAATGACCTACCGAGTCGAGGTCCGAACCACATTCCGGGGTCGTCTAAGTGAAGTCCTAGTAAGTCGTCGTGGGGCTCGTTGCGGTCCGATGGGGGACCACCACGGCCCACCCTGGGGAACGCGTACAGTTGACGTTTTTCGACTGGCTCGTAATCTAAATAAAACATAATATCTATACTAATATTATAAAGAGGAAAGATTTTTTTGTTTGTTTGTATTGAATAGGGTCCAAAACTATTAAACCGATTAGAAAAATTCTTTCACTGTTTGGAAGCTACACTATTCCCCAGTGACATAGGCTATGATCTTGTTTGACAAAAAATAGGGATCCTTACTAAAACTCCAATAATGCAACCCAAGGTGTAAAAAAATTACCTAAAATATTCTTTACATCTTTACATCTGTGCCCTGCGAAAACTATTGATGATAAAATAAAATAATGTACTACGACTTTGTAGAACACATTATTATTGACAAAAAGGGCCACGACAGCATATGCCGTACTATTAAAGTTATGCCGCAATAAGTGTTCTTTTATTTAAAATAATAAAACAACGTCAAATATCGTTGAAATTTTTGTTAAAGACCCGAGCGGAGCCGGAGCGGTAATATATAAAAATAAAATGATGTAGTTTTAGGGAAAACTTCTTAGCATAATAACTTATGTTATTGGAACCCCACTTCGGGTATAGGCCTCCTCCAGCTTACTCCACTCTTCCCTATTCTTGGTTTTGTTTCTCCAGTTTTTTTGGAAATAAAATGGGCTTATTATTATTTTTATAATATAATAATCATTTTCAAAATATATATTCCAAAAATAAAGTAGATTTTGAAACACGCTTTATCTATCCGTTCAAACGGAATATTTCAATGTATTTTTTATCAACTTCAAAACAATCCAATTAACCTAATAATTTGCACCGTGACGAAAATCGATCATGTTACAATATTTTTTATGTCTTTAACTTCATATAGGATCCAGGGTGACCCAGATTATAAAAAAACAAAACATATTGTTTTTAATTCGGCTCATTACCAAAGGGTGTTTTTATAGTTGACTAGCCGTACTTTGCCCGCTTCGCTGGGCATTTAAAATTAACATTATTATTTATTGTCATTATTATTAGGGAGTTCAATACTCATATAAATATTAGCCTATCCATTAAGTACATGTATTTTCTACATGGATACCAAGTTTCAAGTCAATCGGATGCATGGTTCAGTAGTTATAACGGAACATCCGTAAAAGCACTGTAGATTTATGTATTAGTATAGATGAGCAATCAAAATAATGTAATACTTTACCCAGGTACACGTCGTTGATAGGAATCTGCCAGGTACGGTACGAGGCTCTGCCGACTCTTGGGAACGGGTATAAATTGAGTACTCCATCACGACGCAGCTTCGCTCCAGATTCTGCAGTGAGCGTACGTAGTCTTAAGAATACCTCTGAATAGTTGATGCCTCGAGAAACGTATCTAAGAAACTCCAATATGAATGATGTGCTTTTTTATTCGAATAAAAAACTACAGTATTTGGCCGATGCTTTGTCCACAGTGAAAGAGCTTTGGTGGTAGGACCTCTTGTGTGTCCGCACGAGTAGGTACCACACCCTGCCTATTTTCTGCCGTGAAGCAGTAATGCGTTTCGGTTTGAAGGGTGGTGCAGCCGTTGTAACTATACTGAGACCTTAGAACTTATATCTCAAGGTGGGTGGCGCATTTACGTTGTAGATGTCTATGGGCTCCAGTAACCACTTAATACCAGGTGGGCTGTGAGCTCGTCCACCCATCTAAGCAATAAAAAAACAAATAAATAAAAAGCTTACTTAACTCGGGCGGCGTGATGCAAGATTAGGAAAAGTGTTTTGTCACTTAAAGCAAGACGTTGTACTGGCTACTGAAGGTCTCATTCGAAATCATTAGTCTATATCTTGTAGTAAACGCATGTTTATTCTGAAGACTATTCGCTGCACCCAACGATATAAACTAGTTCTTATTTTATTCAAATAACTAGCGACCCGCCCTCGCTTCGCTTCGGAAACATTAAAACACACATGAAACCAAAAAAATAAAAAATTTTTTTTTTTTTAAAAAGTAGCCTATGTTCACCAGGGACAATGTCGGCTTCTAATGGAAAAATAATTTTACAATTCGATCCAGTAGTTTCGGAGCCTATTCGAAACAAACAAACAAACAAATCTTTCCTCTTTATAATATTAGTATAGATTAATTAGAGATGTACATACGAATTCATTAGTCTATATCTTTTATTAAACGCAAGTGTATTCTGAAAACTAATCGCTGCACCCAACGATTTAAACTAGTTCTTATTTTCGAATAATTAATTAGGGACGTATGTAGGACTTTTAAAATTATTGCTATTGGCTACAATACTGTTCTGGTTGCAAAGTCTATCGGGGTACCATTGAATAAGGAAAGAAGTTTACACAAATTATTAAAAACAAAAAAAAAATTTGCAACTTAATTGTATTCGATTACAAATTGAATACACTGAAATTTTGAAAACAAATAACTGATAAAGAAATTGATGTCCGAAACGCGTCTCTTACTTATAATCGATTCTATCTATACAATTGAAAAAAATAAATTAATCAATCTAAAGCAGCCTTTCCCAAAGTGGGCGATAACGCCCCCTTGTGGGCGGTAAGACACCCAGAAAAAAAAATGGGGGCACTGTGTAGAGGCTTGGGAGGCGATATGTGATTTAATCTATGAGCACTCCTAGACACCGTATGAGTTCTCGCTATAGTGGTTTTTAAGGAGGTTAAAAAGGGGGGGGGCGCTAAAAAATAATTTATTCTCAAAGTGGGCAGTAGACAAAACGAGTTTGGGAACCCCTGATCTAAAGCAATCAATTAATCAAAAGACATATAATACAGTTAATTAAATCAGTGAAACAACATAAAGTAGAAACTTTCGTTATAATTGACCGCAGAAAGTTCGATATAATTAATTAAGGTGTACGAGAAACTTAGTTTGTATTATATTAAATTTATTGAGGAATAGTTGATTAATATGTACAATTACGGGTGGCATTGGGAGTTCGCTTGGGTCGACACTACCTTTCAGCCTCTTTGTATCGCGAAGCAAACATGCGATTCGGCCTAAAGAATAGGGTAGCCGTTATAAAAAAAAATGTGTGCGTGTACTAGTGTACACACGTAAGAAGTGAAACATTAATGCTATCCCTACTCCGTTGGAGAAAGTGAAAGTACTCTTCGTCTGAACCAACCGTGGTAGGGGCAAGAAAAAGATGGCGCGTAACGGAAAAATGTGACGCGTAACCGAAAAACGTGACGGTAAATTTTTTTCCAACGCCGATAAGGAAGTTTCACTTCAAAAAGATTCTCTTGCTTCAAGATGGTTGACGATATTTATGATGTGATAAGCAAAATTACCTTTGACATGTTCCTTGAAGACGATCAGATACGACCCGTAAATATAAATAAATTTAGTAACTGAATATTTGAAGAAATAAAACTTTTTTTTATCTACATTTTTGGAATATTTTAATTATGTTCCAATCCAAACGATCATTAATCTAATAATCTATCAGCAAAATAACGCATCTATTTTTGGTGTGTTATTTTTATAAACGCCTCCTGATATCAAAACTAAATAGATTTGGCATTATAAGAGTCATCATCATTTTCCTGCCCTTCCCCCAGTCACTGGGGGTCCGCGCATCATGTTTTCTCCTTCTATACTCCTCTATCATATACCATTTCTTCGCTCATTCCCCTCTTACACATATCGTATTTCACGCAATACATCCATTTCTTCTTAGGTCAACCTCTTCCTCTATATCCTTCCACATTCATAGTTAACACTCTCTTACCAACCTCATTTTCATTTCGTCTCATCACGCGTCCATACTATCCCAAATGCGCACATCTCCGTTTCACTGTCACAGTTGCCACTTTCAGACTTCCTCTAACATATTAGGTATTATTATACGAGTATACACTGTTATTCAATGAATTTTTATTACCATTAGTTTTAATAAGTATCTGAGATTTCGGTGATTTTGCGAGGCAGCACACACACACACATCACATCACAAGTAGACTCGGTTTATCGATGATCATAGAATGTGGATTGATTAAATAATAGTGTTTATAAGGTAGATAACCACGGAAGTTAAAAATAAAATTAGATCTAGTATATTGGTTTGATTCTAAATTAATTTTAGCATCAATATTATGATTTAAATTTCAATGTAATGTATTTTATTTTCATATATTATATGAATGACATTCATAAATTAGGAAAAATATTACAGTAATTAAATATGTATTATGCATCATAATACATTTTTCTAAACTTTACATATTATATACCTTGAATATTGAATTTCAAATTTCTCTCATCAAATGTGTCGTGTTTATTCTATAAACTTTGAATCACTAATTTCATTCTCATACGAGTAAAAAAAAATACGCTCATATATAATAATATATATGTCCATTTATTACTCACGCGAAAAAGCACGTATGTATCAAAAAGCATATTTATCATTTGAGAATTACGAACTTCCACACAATCTCTCATCTCTTACATTATATCTTTATGAAAAAGATTTCCAAACGTCTGTTCTTAGTTTCTTATAGTTTAAAAGGCATGAAATGCCAAATTTCCAGTTTTTAACCCGAGTGGTTTAGCACGGGTATGAATCAATTAGTCAATCAGGACAAGCTGTACATACGTATAGTAAGTTGGACGTCTGTACAAATTATAGGGATAATTTATTCTTTCTAAACATAAACATTCCAAATATTGGTCTGAAAACAAATAATTTTATGTTTATCAGCCAAAATACGAACGATGGACCCTGTTCATTGTTCATATTTTGCTTCGTTTTGTTTTCTTTGAATATCTAGAATAGTTGTTAGCAATAAAATTTGGAAGGAATCGACATCAAAGATGTCATTTATGAGTGCTCTATAAGCCTATTGTTTGAATTTTCAATGCGATCCCCTTTTCTTGAAACTAAAGGTGATTTAGATTTATTTAATTGTGTTTATTAAGGCTCTGTTTTATAAAATAAATCTGCAAGAATGACTTTTTTGACCTACCGACTGCCAGTAGGCTCAAGCGGCTATTTTAACTAATCACAGCGATGTAGGAGACTTCGCGGGGCTTAGTTCTGAAAGACTTTGCTAACATTGGGCCTAGAAAGAGTAGTGCTTCGCAGAATCTTTCACCGGATCGGAATCGCGATCTACTGAGGAGATCCGGCGAATAGCTTAATTCGTTGTGTCTATGGACTAAATATTTATTGTAAGCTGTGTAGCAAAATATAGATTTGAGCGAAACTTTTTCACTTGATTTGTCTATGAGAGTAAAACTATTTGTAAGCTTTTTTTACAAATTTAGTGATGTATTTGTAGACTTTTCATAACACTTTTAGTCTCTAGCTAGGCTAACTTTTGCTAGGGCAAGTTTTAGCAAACTCTCTCAGGTTGAGCCATGTGAGCTCACTCATCAGTCCACAGCATCAGTCAGAGCGTAGATGAAATAGCCCCTTAAGTTACCAGCGAATAGGTAGAAAAACAAACAATATAAAGCTAGCGGCTTGGCTCTGCTATTTCTAACGTCCGTGACCAAAAGTGACCAATCACCTCTGCCAATGATCGTATCTGCCTAATCTGCCAGCGACGACCATAAAAAATTTGTTCTACGTCTAAAGTGCAAGTCGCTAAGTTTTCAATCAGAAATTTCCGGTGTTTACTTTATGAATTATCGAGATTGAACACAGATTAAACCTATTTGACTAGCGTATTCATAATCGAGTACCGTAATCTCTGGAAACCGCTCTCGCCTGTCCCACGTTTGTGTTATATTTAAATAATCCTTAACGCACACTAACATTCCGCGAGCAAAATCCTTAAATCTTAACCTTAAACATTTCATCCGGTACTCTATATTTAAATCCCTTTAGTTCATAATACGAAAAAATATAACTAATAAGTTCTATTACATTATTTAATGTTTCTATTCTAGATTCATGCTTACGATAGTTGTGTATTTAAAAAAAAAGAAATCGTTATTAAAATTAAAAAGGACAAAGCATACCCCAAAAGTAAGACAACTGCCGATTTATACTAAACAAATATTTATTTAAAGATAAAATTGGTAGGAATAATTCAAATCTCATTAAAAATGTCTAACGGGCTTGTTAAGTATAAACATAGAGGCCCCAGGACTAAAGATAACATACGCGATTCTATATGAGAGAAATAATATCATCTGCTAAATAAATTATCAAACTTTTATTTATTTCAATCGGCTTGCTCCAAGCATAAAAATTGATTGCACATTTGTTGCATTGAAAACGATTCTCAGAAATGTATTTATTATGAGCCGTCTTCATATTGTTATAAATCAGTTTTCGTCATTAATACTCACGATGTGAACTGTTGAAGGTGATGGAAATCAACGTAATGATGGTTAACAGCTTCATTGTTGACTGCATTGTATCTGAAATGACAAATCAATTAAACACTGGTGGCAAGGCGTTTTGTGACTACGGGTAGGTAATGTCACCATCTCTATTTCTTGCGCTTCGGTTTGAAGAGTCGGGCAGTCGTTTTACTGTAAAACTGGGACTTAAAACTCATGTCCTAATAGGTGGCGGCATTTGGGTTGTTGATGTCTATGGGCTCCAGTGACCACTTAATAACAGGTGGGCTGTAAGCTCGTCCACCTATCTAAGCAAAAAAAAAAAAACTTTTGTTCCGATGAGCTATTGATGATTCGCTAGTGGTAATTTTCATTTTTAACTAAATTTTACAGAAAATGGAAGAAATTTCTCCATTGAATTTTTTTTTGATTAAGTGTTTTTTACTTCTGAAATTTTTCTAAGTGACCCGATATTTTATTTGACAACGGGTGCTTCTAGTGTCAATTAAAGTAACAGAATTTCATCAATAGTTTATTATGTTATTCTTAGTAATGCGTAAGTGACTTGGACTATATTGATGATATTATTATTTTATTTATTGAACGCGGTATTCATTTAGAATTTCGTATAATTATACTTAATTTGTCCAGTGGTGTTAAATTACAAAACAAATATGCTATTACATTTGTTTGCACATTCAATACCGAGTCAGTGTCGTACTGGATAGAAACTGGACTTCTAAATTGCGTTTTGTCATTTTAAAAATATTTTTGTTATTATATTATCTACGTCCAGTCCAATTACGAATCCTCAAGTTCTTCGGGCACATCACTCGTAATGAGGATTCCATTGAGCGGTTGGTGGTGCAAGGGAAAGTCGAGGGCAAAAGATCTCGCGAACGATCTCCAACACGATGGACGGACCTCATAAAATCTGTTACTCACTCCAAGATAAATGTTTGCTCTCACTCTGCGAAACATCGTGCCACATGGCGTCGCATCGCGAGAGCATCGGTATCGCAGGATCCGACTGATGCATGACCACGACCACTCTGTCGCTGTCGAGAGTGTACGAATAGGAAGGAAAAAATTATCTACGTAAAATGTGTTATAATTTGTTTATCTTTTAACCTTTTTCATCTTCATGTTCACTGAGCTGTTTATACTACTTAGCTTTTAACCTTTATTAACTTTGTTTTTCTGGTTACGTACTTATATTAAAATTACTTTTACGTTTTAATTCGTTATTTTTTTAACAATAAATGAAAAATTAATACGATTACTGGCAGTAATTACGGGCAGTAATGCCCTTAAGACGGTCTATTAAAAATGACATTAATTATACGAGAACGCACAATTAATTTTCTTTTTCGTAAACTCATCTTTTGTGTATATTAATTTTTTAATTTAATACACTCGTAATTTTCTGAGACTTCAATTGTTTTGAAGTTAATATAATGAGATTGCAAACGTTTTTTTTTTTATAAGGTATGTAACCACTGGAATTAAATATAAAAGCGAATGTAAATTTCCATTTCTAGAAATAATTGTTTAATAATTAATATAATTGTTTGTTTCTAGAAATAATTGTTGTGATAAAACTGTGAACATTACGACTTTTTGCATTTCCATGCATTCATTACCACTTTTTAGCTTACATTACCACTTTACATTATTACACACTACTCTCTACGGTTTTCTTACAACGTGTATGTTATGTTTATTTATATATTAATACGCGAAGCAAAAAGTTTGTACCCCTTTTTCGAAAAATGCGCTAACGGAAGAGTATGGAATTTCCCACACTTATAGAGAATATAGAGATGGAGTGCGGAATGTTTTTTTTTTTCATTGTGCATAAAAAATACAGTAAATTAATAATAAAAAAAACATTAAACACCTGCCATGTATATGACACAACACATATATAAACCCTTTGTTTATTGTCAAGCTTTTGTTATTGCTTAAAGTTTGTGGTCAAATTGAGAATAGATTGTTTGTCTTTAAGATTATTTATCTATAGTGTACTCTTGGTGGAATCTGTGATTATAAAAGTATAATAGATAGTCTTTGACAATAGAACCTAGTAGTAGAGTTATAATTTCAATTAATTATAGTCGAATTTCGACTACTAGGGGACCACTAGTTTGTATAAAACGAAATAACTGTAAGTAATTTTATAATTAACTTGAAAATTTTCACACGCATCAAGGACTGAAGATAGTACAATAATTTTATAAATTCCCTCTAATATCCTGACCAGTTTCAGTAGTATCAAAACTAGATGAAATTAAATGTTAGTTCCGTTTGGGTAGTGTTCGCAATTTTTTGTTTTTTTGTTTTTTTGTCTCAGTTTAAAGCCTTTTTGAAAAACAACAACAGTAATGGATTTTTATCGAACTAATTTAAATTGATTTGTCTTTTATATTTGTTTAATTTTAAAGCCGTCCAACGTCAAAACAGTCATTTACGCACTTCCCTTAATCAAATACGAGAGTTTTGTGTTATTATATAATACGCTTTTATTAGCTTCAGACGTATGTATGTTAGTATGTAACGGAATCTTTGAACAAGATTTTGACCCCCTTCAAAACGTCGGATTAACTTGAAATATGGTATACTTATTAAGGACAAATCAATATTAAAAAATTGAAATTCAACTAAAAAATGAAAAATAAGTAATAGTTTAAAAAAACAAAAAAAAATACGCTTTTATAGAAAATCCAACTAAAAAATAGAAAATAAATTTGAATTAAAAATAGTGTAAGAAACAATGATTTAATTGTAAAAAAAAGCGTGGGGTGCACGGTATCAGTAGTTATAAATATTTTATGAACAGATATGAGTTTGATAATATCCTGAAAAGCACCCCAATTATTTATTTTTTAATTCTATGCGACGAATATTCCAAGAGAAAAACTATTGACAAATATATTAGCTAGAAGCTCAAAATTGTACACATATTATTATGTGTGTGTATTAAGTGAATATGAGAAAAGCGATGTCCAAACTTACGTCTGCGTCCAGCACCTGTTGAACACCGGGAATGCGGTGTCGTGATCTGTAACCCCAGTTTATATAGGGCGGGAAAGCTAGCCGGCAGCGGTGCTCAAATTTTTAACATAGAAAATTTATCCCATAAAAATCAATAGGGGACATAAACTAGGATTTTGAAGTTTATTTACTTAACTTACCTATTTAGTATATATAATTTGATTATACAAAAAAAGCTTTTATTTTCTAATAAATAAGATGCAGCTGTTAAATTCTTTAAAAACACATTTATGATAAGGAGCTTTAGTTTGTATGGTCAAGCCTGAGTACGTACTTGAAATAGACAAATACTCCATTATCGCTTTAAGTATCGCCGACAGCAAATGGAGTTTTTTATATGCAGTCATAATATATGTTATGCAGTTAAAATATTGAATATTTAAATCGAAATAACAGTGCGTTGATATAGTTTTTTTAAATATTGTTACGCACTGGGGTTCCGGATAAATAAAATTTTATATACCGAATTACAAGCTAACACTGTATTAGCACTCAGAACACTTCACAAATACTTTAAAATTCTCAATTCGCTTCTTCCGCTTCGCTTCAGGTGATCCGTTCGCTGTTTCGCTTCGAATAGTTCCGATTACTAACTGTGTGCCATCTCTGCAACGCTTTTATAATAGACACAAAATCCCTAGAATCGTCGAGAATATTCCACAAAAGTCTAGTATTGTGTGTTTCCGTTATCTGACAATAGATGGCGTTGTACTTCGCGAGCGTTCTAGATGCTATTAGATCCTTCAATATTCGTTCGACTATTCGGCGATAGATGGCGTTACTCTTACCGGCGTAACAATATACTTTTAAGTGACGTAAAATATTTTTGAGTCCAAACTAAAGTGACGTCACTTCTATCTGATTAATTAAATTGATGAATAAATGATCCTATATACATATTAATATACTGTAGGCCTATTGTATAGTCGCTAGTGACAGTCAAGGAGTCTGAAGTTCCATATTAGGGTGGGGTCTTTGAAACATATTTTTAGGGCCTTTAAATTTTGAGCACCAATGTCAAAATAAAATAATTGAAAACAGGACAGTACACTACGGCGTATTATTTAACAAGGAGAGTTTGTATCATGTTTTCTTTTTTTTATTACGTTATATCAGAACATTTTAGAAACAAAGAGGAAATTAAAAAAACGCCTTTCGAGTGGAAAATCTCTGCGTTTATTAGCACTGTGCAAAAATTATTATCTGTTGTCTATATATATTGCCCAATTATTATAACCAATATAAGAAACTGTGAATTTTAAATAAAGGTAATCCGTGATCCCGTGCAACTTTACTATTTATCTTTCATCCGTTCCAAAATCCATTTCAGCATCAAAGTTGGTTCAAATTAGTAGTCAACGATAGGCAGTTGCTTGGCCACGCTGATAGGCTAATTGCCCTTCCTGTTTTTGCCGTAATAATGATCTGTNTGCCCAATTATTATAACCAATATAAGAAACTGTGAATTTTAAATAAAGGTAATCCGTGATCCCGTGCAACTTTACTATTTATCTTTCATCCGTTCCAAAATCCATTTCAGCATCAAAGTTGGTTCAAATTAGTAGTCAACGATAGGCAGTTGCTTGGCCACGCTGATAGGCTAATTGCCCTTCCTGTTTTTGCCGTAATAATGATCTGTATTGTTTAGAGAAAGAGAGAGAGAAAGAGAAATATTAAGGTTAACTACTATTGAGACTTTCTCTAATTCAAAACGGCGTAAATGGGCCCCGGTGATGGCATTCAACAGCGCATATGAGCTAATGAGTAATCAATTCACGTTAATATATTATTTCTAATTTACAATTAGTAATTTACTATTAATCGATTGCCGTATAAAAACGCTCCTGTGCTAGGTTGCTGTCCCTTGGTATGCTTTTTAGTTTCTTCGGTAAAGAATTTAGTTAGCCATTCGATTCCCGGCTTGGTATTGGACCAACCTGTGTCTTCTGATGGGCATAAAAGGCGACTACGGTTCATCTTCTGGCTACCATCTTATGCCAACGATACTATTCCCTGGAA